CTCTCATCCTTGGAATCCCACTGCGTTTCCCTACAGTTGGATCTACTACTGCCTGGATCTCCTGCCTTCCTCTTTCTGGGTTTACCTACTTATTTTGGCCAAGCACATCCATCGCCAATCCTTTAAAGAGATAACAGTCACACAGAAATCTCGATTACAGACATTTCTATCGCCCATCCCGTGGTCCTCATCTCCCCTTGGAGTAAAACAGTTGGGATCCCCTTAGGTGCCTGGGTGTGAAACAACATTCCCAAGCAGGCAGGAAGCAGGTGGTGAGGTCACACCGGTGGAGGACTCAGGGGTGTACTCCTCCCCCACCGCGTCCTGCTGGTGGGAGGTGGGTCCCATTCCACCCTCCCCAGAAGGGCACCTCTGCTGAGCTGGGTGACAGCCCAGTGGGCTTCAGAGGAAGTCATAGCTCTCGGTGAGGCAACTGACTGGAGACCCCAGGGAAGAGCAGGGGCTACCCAGGGAATGAAAACACACCCTGCCGGGCCCCTCCCACCTTGGCTGATGAGTGTCCTTGCTCACTTTTCTCCTACCCTGCCTAGACCCGCATTTCTAGGTCTGGGGAGCTGACATCCTCAGGAGAACAAATCCCACGAGACCTGCCCAGCCGGCTGCGAGTCCAAGGGGCCCAGGTTTACGAGGAAGAGGAATTGGGGACATAGTTTGTTCAGAGTCCCACTGCCTAATCCCGTGGGGGAGGAGAACCGGGCCAGGGGAAAAGCTCAAGCCACTTCCCGCACAGGTTGAGGCTGAGCTTACACATGATTCCTCTGAAGCAGCGGTTCTCAACCTGTGGGTCGCAGCCCCTTTGGGGGTCGAACGACCCTTTCACAGGGGTCGCCCAAGACCATCGGAAAACACATATATAATTACATATTGTTTTTGTGATTAATCACTATGCTTTAATTATGTTCGATTTGTAACAATGAAAATACAGCCTGCATATCAGATATTTACATTACGATTCATAACAGTAGCAAAATTACAGTTATGAAGTAGCAACAAAAACAATTTTATGGTTGGGGGGTCACCACAACATGAGGAACTGTATTAAAGGGTCACAGCATTAGGAAGGTTGAGAACCACTGCTCTAAAGGGACAGCTTGTCTTTGAGCTGGAATCCCGGGGTGGGGGCTGGAATCCCGGGGGGCGGGGGGGTGTCATAGAGACAGTAGAGATTGAGGGAGAACTGGGCCCCTTCCCTGCCTCACTCTGCCCCAGACCTCAGCCACGAGCACCGTTTCCCACCAGCTGGGAAACACACACTGTGAAGTGGAGTGAATTCCTTCACCCTGCCAGCCAGCCTAAGCTACAGCTTTAAGAATGTCTGCTTTAGCCTGAAGGGTCTGGCCAGACACCCAGACGCTTCAAAGCTTTTAAGTTTGTTTGTGAAATATTTTCATATTTGCTTAAGATGGTACAAGGCAGAGGGCACGGCGATGACAACCCTCAGCATGCCTGGCTCTTGAGTCACGCTGTTCCAATCGGGATGGTTGCTTTAAGGCAGTTGTCCTCCGTCATTCCCTTCACCTCCTCCCAGAAGTTCCTGTGCCCCCCCTCCTCGTGGGCCAGGTCTCAGCTTTCTCTGTTTCCTGTCATCTTCTTTGATAGTTTACGCCTTTTTGATGGAGTGCATCCTCCAGGGGGCTTCCCGATAGGTTAAAAGAGAGATTAACCAAAGAACTTATAAGTATATATGCATAGTCCATGGGCTCAGACAACAGACAGGGGCGGGCCTGGTGGGGGTGATGGGTGGAGGGGGGCAGAGGGGAGAAAATGGGGGACATCTGTAATACTCTCAACAATAAAATAAATTTTAAAAAAGAGAGACTGAGACCTTATCCTTGAATGTTTAAAAAGTATTTTCTCTTCACGCTTGATTTCTATTTTGTTTGTTTTTGGTGAAAAATAATATTTCTTCAAAAATTTGGAGGCATTTTTTAATTTAATTTTTTCTATCACCATTTATTCCCTCTATGCAGTCTTCTACCTCCACCCATCTCCCTCCACCCCCAAAATCACTATTGTCCATGTCCATGAGTTCTCTCTTTTTTTTACTCAATCCTGCCACCCCCTCCCTACCTCCCATCCCCCTCACCAGCACCCCGCCCCCAACCCACCCCCAATCCCATCTCAAGCTGTCTGCCTGCTCTCTAGCAATGATTCTGTCTCTATTTTGCTTGGCAGTTCAGTTTGCACATTAAATTCCACATATGAGTGAAATCATATGGTACTTGTCTTTTTCTGAATGGCTTACCATGATGTTCAATTTTGGAGGCATTTTTAAGTGCCTTCTCTCTCCTAGTGCTGTTAAGGAGTCTGTTGTCGTTCTATTTTCTGCTTCTTTGTGAAGTTCTGTTTCTTATTTCCTGAAGCTTGTAGCGCCCTCTCTTTACTCACTGCATTCTGAATTTTGAAAATCATGGGCCTTGCTTTTTGTGTCCATTACTGAGGCACTTGGTGGATTCTTTCTGTCAGAGGAAAAAAAAACTTTTTAAAATTGTTTTGTTCTGGATTTCCTAGCCTTTGTTTTCTCTTTTCCGGGACCTTCTATTACTTGGCGGTCTGGCTCTCTGGTCCCCTGGGGTTGACGGGGTCCTGTTCTTGTTTCACGGATGCAGCAGCTTTCCTGTTGCCATCTTCTCTGAGGACATCCACGTTGTGTTTTAATGTTCCCTTCACTCCCCATCGTTTCTCTTTCTTTCGAGTGGCCCCTTTTCTGTTTGTTTTGGTCTCTGACCCTCTTCCCTGAGACTCTCTTGGGCAAACAGAATCTTGTACGTCTATGGTCTAGAGCAGGGAACTCTCAGAAGCTTGGAACGTCACTGTGGGGTTACCTGGCCGGGCCCTTTGCTGGGGGAACCCCAATCTTCAGATCCTCCCTCCTGAGCTCCCACCAAAAAAGTCTTCCAATATTTTGCCTCAAGAGTAAAGTCTGGCTGCCAGCCTTCTCAGGACCTGGTGCAGGAAGAGGGCCGGGGAGTCTCCGCATTCTGTACTTCGTATGTCTGCAGTCATTTCATCCCCTGCTTTAATCCACCGTCACAGCGGACCAAAGGTCCTCGATTTTATGCTCCCCAGAAAACAAACCGCAGCCTTCTACTACTGGGGGAGGGGCATTTCCTATTGGAGTAGAACAGGGGAAGGGGCTAGGGGTTTAATTGTTTCCCAAACAGGTTTGTCCACACCCCTTCCCTCCCACCTCCACAGAGATGTAGCTGTTACTTCCTGAGCCTTCTCGGGACTCTTTGGGGTTAACTGGTTGGTCCTCCAGGCTCCCTTCTTTAGACGGGTGACTTTTTCTAGCATCCGTGTGGCTATGCCACTAGGATAAGGAAGAGAATTGGGAGAGAAGCTGCTCGAAGCCCAGGGGCATAGTTCAGGAGCAGAAATGTCCCGGCCGGTCTTCCTGGAAGTGGCCTCCTGCACGTGTCCCACCGTCGAAGCATCCTCTTCTCTGCTTGAAAGGATTTCCTCAACATCTGGTCTGTGACAACGGTGACCTGGCAGGCCCTCTCAGAGGCTGGAAGTGACTTTGTTTGGTCACCTTAACATAGCTACTCGGGAGTTTCCTCCCTGGCTTACTTTTCTTCTTTTTTTTTTTAAATTTATTGTTGACAATGTTACAGATGTCTCCCATTTCCCTCCCTTAACCCACCTCCCTCCAACCTCCCCCCCCCCCGCCCCAGTTCTTCACCACCTTATTGTCGGTGTCCATGGGCTATGCATATTAGAATGTAAGTTCTTTGGTTTATCTCTGCTCGTCCCCCACCCCCACACCTGGCTTACATTTTAGTTCTGGTGGAGGACCACAGCAACATTGTTTAATGTTTGATTCATAAGAACACTAGGCTCAGCTGGTGGGTGGGGGTCTCTGAATATAAATGTACACTTTCTGTAGTCCATTTCACTCATTGCCTAATTAAAAAAAAAATCCTCCCCCGGGAAGTGCTTTTTTCTAACTGGCCCAAGGGACCTGCTGGAGCTACTGGTTGCCCTGTTATATAAGCTTAAAGTCAGAGAAGTGCTGGAAGCAGTGGCATCAAGTTTAGGTGCTGTGAAAGAGGACAGGCCGAAAGATAAGGGGGGCGGGGAATGCAGCCAGCTCCCAGGGAGGAGCAGTGTGGGAAAGAATCAGGGGTCCAGGTGAGTTATGGATCATCGCTAACTTTTGTTACATGGGGTGCAATGCAAACCTCTTCCCTGTCCTCAGCAAAGTCTCCATTACCTTAAAAAGCATCCTGGCCCTAACTGGTTTGGCTCAGTGGATAGAGCATTGGCCTGTGGACTCAAGGGTCCCAGGTTCGATTCCAGTCAAGGGCATGTACCTTGGTTGCGCGGACATCCCCAGTAGGGAATGTGTAGGAGGCAGCTGATCGACATCTCTCTCTCTCATCGATGTTTCTAACTCTCTATCACTCTCCCTCCCTCTCTGTAAAAAGATCAATAAAATATATTTTAAAAGGAAAAAAGAAAAAAAGAAAAATGCATCCTGCCTCGGGAGCCTGGAGAAGCCACGTGTGCACACAGAGAAGATGAGCTCCGCTGCAAGGCCACTAGCTTGGGGCCACTTGCAAAAATGCACAACATATTTTATGCTATAAATTAACTAGCTTTCCAGCAACAAAAAGCTTCCTATAGAAATGGAGCTCAAGTTACCAGGCAGGTTCTGGCGGTGTCACAGATGTTTGAGGTCGGTGGTCATAAAGACTTGGAGTCCTGTGGGTCTTCATGGTCCCTCCCTGTGGCAGCAGATGAGAGATGGTATTGTTGTTCGCCTGCTGTCCCCGGAGCTCAGCAGTGTGCTGGTCACATGTTCTTTATGTTGGGCCTGTGGAAAGACGGGTCAGTGAGTTAGATGACTTTCTGTGCGGCCTAGGAGTTTGCACTATTTAAGCCTATCTTAGTTTACTTTTTTCTTTTTCTTTTCTGAGCTGAATTCCATGGCTACACTAAAGAATGTGTTTGTGCTGCTTCTTTATTTTCACTAGGGTACCAGAGCATCTCGTGAAGAGCATAACTTGGCAGACATTGCAAGCTGTGAATTTTTGCCATAAACACAATGTAAGTCTCATGATCGCCCTTAAAAAAAAAAAAAACAGAAGGCTGCCTTTACGCTGAGGCGGAACCTTCGTTCAAAGTTTATGTCATGCTTTTGTGGATATAATTTTTCATCCAAATCTCCTTAAGCCTGGTTAGGGTATGTGGAGGCTAAACGTGCCAACCTAGCGATTCCTTCTTGTTCGGGTCACATAAAAGATGCATTTTTATGATTTATACTCATCAGAAGCTACTCAGGTTTAAGGTAGCATCCCATCCACTTGGAGTCTGTATGGGTCTACTACCCTCTGAAGGCTCTGAAATTAGGGAGAGGATCCCCTCGTGACTGCTGCCCATGCAGTTGCAGGAGGCGGAGTCCCACGCACAATGCCCCCATGCTAGTGCCTGCTTTGCTGAGATATGAGTGCCAGGTCTGGGACGAGCCAGCTCAGTGGAAGCCTGTGCCACTCCCGGCCACAGCAGGGCCTGGCGGAGGCAGTGGACCCAGGCTCTGACTTCACAGATGCTGGAAGCCTGCTGCCCCTCCAGTACAGCACTGCCCACTGCCTGCACATGAAGCCAATTCCAGTGTTAGAGCTCCATTTGGGCCACAAGGGCAACCTGACTGCAATATGTCGACCTACTGGCTGCTGGGGCCAGTTTAGCTGGTGGGCCTGATCTACATGACTTTCCCTGACGCTGCTTTCCCAGATGGAGGAAATAGGACAGTAGTGAGCGCTTTTCCCTACCGAGTCTCCACCTCGCTGCAGCTATAGTCCTTGTCAAAACGCATGTATAGAAGGGAGCATGGGCACTTTATTTATTTTTTTAATATATTTTTATGGATTTCAGAGAGGAAGGGAGAGGGAGAAAGAGATAGAAACATAAATGATGAGAGAAAATCATGGACAGGCTGCCTCCTGAACGCCCACTACTGGGGATCACGCCCACAACCTAGGCATGTGCCCTTGACTGGAATCGAACCTGGGACCCTTCAGTCCCCAGGTCGACATTCTATCCATTGAGCCAAACCAACTAGGGCAGCATGGACGCTTTCTATTGCTGTTTACTGCGAGTGAGGCTTAGCGCTTTCCCGAGAGTAGGTTTCAGGATGGGGAGCAAGAGAGACTGCATAAAGGCCCTGGTGGGGAAAATCAGAGACACTAAGGACCAGTGCATACCACGGTTCCCTGGAGAGCCGCTGACCACACTGTTTGGCCACATGCGCTGGTGGGGGGAGGGTGTAGAAACTTGTAAAGAATTCCCAGAACAGACTAGGAGCACATTCTTGCTTACAAGTCCTGCTGACCATCTGTCACCATGATATCCACGGGTGTGCCCATTTATAGTAACATGTGAGCCAGTGGTGAAGAGTGGAGGGATCTCAGGGCCATTAGTTGCTGAGAACCAGATAAGATTGTAATAAAATAATTCAGAAATTGTCTCCCCAAATGTTTTCCAGAGTCATGAATACCCTTTGGGGGAACATTGACACTGCTCTCTCACCCTGAAGGTCGTTTGGAGAGAGTACGAGGCCAGGCCCAAGAAGAGCCTCTGTCCTCTTTCCAAATGCTAGAAAGGCAAGAATGCCCCAGGGTTTCAGCCGCAGCCGAAGGGGGTCTCTCCTGCAGAAGGAGCCAACATTCCTCTCCGGAGAGGAGCAAGCTTGGACGAGGGCAGGATTATTTATTGGGAACCCTGAAAAGCATTTTAACCCAATTGTTTTTATGTAATTGTTAACCAAGTTGTTGATTTGTTCTTTGCCAAGAAAAGTATTTAATCAGAAAATCATGTGAAGATTCTTAAGCATTCTTCGAACATCTCCCTGTGAAACCATGTCAGCTATGGTTTGGAAACCACAGGTGATCTGAGTCTGAACTGTGGGGTAGATGCAGCTCTGAGAACGCTTGTGTATGGGACGGAGCTGACATCTAGCGACTCTCTGCAGAGGGTGAGCGTGGCCCACTCCTGTTTATCTTGTCAGGACACATGTCAGAGCTGGAAGGGAGGCCTCGCAGGAGGCTCGTGGTTCCGCCCTTCTCTTCCCCAGCTTATCTCTGCAGGCCCAGCGCTCGTCCTGTTTACCAGGCGGACGGTGTTCTGTTCTGTTAAACAACTGAACTATGAATCCCACTTATGCACCAACCTGTGGCTCCAGCAAAGCCCTGTCCAAGCTTTTCCACGTTTCCCTTTCACGGAGGGTTGCCAGATTACACACTAGTACATGCCAAACACTACGTAAGACATACTTACACTAAAAAAGTGTTTAACTACAATGTAAAGTTACCTGGGTGCCCTTGTTGGTCCCTTTGGGACCTTCAGGAATTTAGGGTGATTCAGGCTATGATAGGTATGGTACTAGATTTACTTCATGCTTATGTTTTGCCAATTTTGGTATTTTTCATCCTATTATCCAAAGGCCAGTGAGAAGTTCAAACGATTTCTCAATTATTTTTGCTCATTATTCATGTGTTTTACTGATCCTACACAGTATAGTTGCTCTTTAATAATCTGTTTTGGTTCGGTTTTTGTGACTAGTGCATACATAGAGATGTGAAGCCAGAAAATATCCTCATCACAAAACATTCAGTGATTAAGCTGTGTGACTTTGGATTTGCTCGACTTTTGAGTGAGTATTGACGTTTCTCTTAAGTATAAATGATGGAAAGATTCTTTATATAATAAATGCTCTAAATGCTATCGAAAGCTAGTTCTTATATATACTAAGTATATACTAGCTTACTATAAATTACAATTATGTAATTACTGAAAATAGGTAGACACATACAGTAGTTTAAACATGTATGCTATAGCCCAGCTATATAGTACTTTTCAGAAATACTATTTTAGAAGAGTGGTTTTCAACTTTGGCTGCAAGTTAGAATCACATGGGGAATTATAACTATAAAAACTATACTGATTCCCCCGCCCAGGAATCGTGGTTTAATTGGACTGGGGTGGGGCCCAAGCATCAGTAATTTTGAAAGTTCTATATTCCGAGTGATTTTAATGTGCAAGTCGTATTGAGGACCCAGTGATTTAGAAAAGCCACATGATGGGGCACAGCTGGGTGTCTGAGGTCTTCCCCCTCCCAGTTTTGATTCCACGTTTGCACTGTTCTCTGTTTCCCATGTCCCATCACTGGCCAGCTGGACCAAGTGACTACTACACAGACTACGTGGCTACCAGGTGGTACCGCTCCCCCGAGCTGTTGGTGGGGGACATGCAGTACGGCCCCCCAGTAGACGTTTGGGCAATTGGCTGTGTCTTTGCTGAGCTGCTGTCAGGGGTGCCTCTGTGGCCAGGAAAATCCGATGTGGATCAGCTCTATCTGATCAGGAAAACCTTGGGTAAGTGGTGTCTCTGTTCTACCTTTTGGGCAACTGGATAGTTCTACCCACATCAGTGCAGGGCAGAGCCACGTTCCTAGTTTCACCTGACGCCCTTTATCGTTACGAAGGAGGGACACTCTCAACACCTCCTTTAAATGACTCCATTAAAGGCGTCCACATTTGTTTTAATAAAAAGAATCCACAATTTTGAGTGTGTACTATTGTCCAAAAAGACATGATTGTCTCTTTGCATAGTTGGGATCAAGTGAAACTCTGAATGATGATCACAGCAACAGTAACAGCGTACATTTCTATAAGGGCTGAGCAGTTTACAGGATGCTGATGTATCTCGTTTCATTTATGACGATGTGGTCATTCATTCGTTGGTTGTCCTGACTCCAGCCTGCCAGTCTTGTTTGGATTATTCAGAGAAAGATTCTCAGCCTTCTAGGTGTCAGGAAGAGAGTCATTCATCTAATGTCACTTTGCTTGTCTTGCTTTCCCACCCCTTCCTTTCTTTCTACTCGTGGGGTGGAGGGGGCGAGGGGAGGAGAAGGGAGAGAAGGAGAGAGACATGAAAAGACCTATGAGCAGTGATTGTCCTCTTCCGAAGTCAGGAGTTTAGCTGCTACTCCCCTGAGAACCCACTTGCCCTCTTCTGAACGCTTGTAGCACCTGTTGTCACCATGCCTTTTACTCCCCGATATGCTGTAAGCTGCCTGAGGGTGAGAGCGTATCTTTCATGTCTATCTGTCCACCAGCGTTTACTGTCTACATAGTAGGCAGTACATATTTGCTGATGGCTTCTTTTGATGAGACAGAGACTGGGAGCCTTCCAGGGGCACTCAGCCTTCCTTGCTGTGTTTCTCCTGGTGATTTTAGGACACCTTCTCCATGCCTCCCCCGCCCCCAGCTCTGATGGAAGAAGGTTGTTAAGGTCCAGGCACTGCTCTCATGACGAAGACCACTGAGGTCTGGGCAAGGCATTAGAGAGTGTATTTTGGTTGCTCGTGTCCAAAATGGGGTGGGACAGCAGCTTTGGGGTTTGAGTGAGAGGTAAAGTTCCAAACCAAATTGGTGAAATTAGACAACTCGATACCCTGTGGTAGGAACTTCAGCCCAGCCCAATAGCAGCGTTTCTGGGGGCCTGGTTGGGAGGGTTATGTTGCTCACTCTGGTCTAGGAAGTAGATCTGAGTGCGCCTCAGGGGCGCCCTGCTCTGAGGATCTCCTTGTGTTCTCTGAGCGAAATTCCTCTTCAAATTCTATCCCTAGAATTTTCCTGAGGACAGTTTTATCTGATTTGGCTGAAATTTGGGTAGAGTGAGCCTTACATAATCCCCAGAATACAGAAATGCTCCTTTTGTTTCATTGCTTCATTTCGTAAATAATTCTAAAGAACAGAGAAAATGGGATTTTCAGGTGATGGCTACTTGGTGAAACAAGAAAAGGTGGTTCCAGTTTATAAATGTCTTCCTTCCAGCTAGATCCTCCATGATTCCCCTCCCTTCCTTCTCCCCTTTCCTTCCTCAGATAATTACTGAGAGCTTGCTATGTGTCAGGCACTGTTCTGTTAGGCCAGTACACTTTTGTCTCAACCCATCAGGATTCAGTTAACATGATTTTGATTTGATTGCACTTTTGCTATTAAAAGGGGGGTTGCTATTTGATGTGTGTGTGTGCACGTGTGTGTGTGCTTCTGAGTTGTTTGGTTTGAGGAGCAAGAACCTTGTAGCCTTCTATTCCTGTGCGTGCTTCCTCTGCCTAACACAGCGCTTGCCGCACTGCAGGTCTCAGTACAGGTTGTTGAGGTTGCCTCAAAGCCTCTCCCTCCCTCTGATTGGGAGAGCAGACTGCAGACTTCAAAGGTGTAAGCACAGACAGACACAGCACCAGGGAGGGAAACCACTAATCAGTGCTTGCTAACCCATCTCGTTTTACCTTCCTCGTTCTTCTTGTCCAAAGGAGATCTCATCCCTAGGCACCAGCAAGTATTTAGCACCAATCAGTACTTCAGTGGGGTGAAAATTCCAGACCCTGAAGATATGGTGAGTGACCCATTTTGGAAAACATTCTGCATGTCAGGGCTGAATGTCAGCCCCATGGCCCAGTCTGCCCTGCAAGGTCAGTCAAGGAGTAAAAAAGAAATTGGGGCAAATTGGCTAGCAAGACCCTGGCCGTCAGTGCTAATTTAGAGTAAGCTGCTGATGACAGTAAGAGAGCATGATGGACAGGAATGCAGAGTGCCTGCCCTGACCTCACCTGTCGTTTGTCATTTTCAGCTGTTGAAGGTAGGTAGCTCAGAGCCAATCAACGTTTAGACAATGACTCATCCAGGAAAATCCAGCATTGTCCTAAAGCCCTGCTCTACTGAACTTGCATGGCCAGCCTCACTCCGGTGCCTGTCCTCTTTGGCCAATGTAGGGAACACACTCATTCTAAAAAAAACTGAAAAATTAAAAATGTGCATACTCTTAGTCCACTTTCAAGAATTTATTCCAATGAAATCATTAGACAAAGACATAAAGACATAGCATTCTTTGATAGAAATAATTTCCTTTAGTGTCCTATCACTAAAGGGATTAAATAACTTATGGTACATAGCCTTACAATAGAAATACCACATAGCCAATAAAAATAGATTTTATGTATTCACTTAAAAAAAGTTCACAACGTATTGCTAAATGGAAAAAAATGGTTATGAATCAGTATACATAATTTGACATCATTTTAATAAGTATTTAATACACAATACATGTATTTATATATAAGTATAAAAAATCTGACAACCTTTGGAAACTCATGCAAAGCTTTTTACATTTGTGAAATAAATGACTGCAAGGATATACACAAAAATATTAACAGCATATATCTCTCTGTGGTGGGGTAATTTTTTTCTTCCTTTATGGTTTTAAATATTTTTTTATGTCTTCTAATGAGCCTGTATGATCATCAAAAACATTTCAGAGCGCAATGGAGGTGTGTGAAATCCTGAGTTTCTACTGTCACAGAAAGTACTTTCAAATGGAAACTAACCCTCGGATTGCTCGGTTTCCACCTGGAAGTTTCATCAAGTTCCACTTGCGCTTTGTTCCCCTTGGCCTGTCTCACAGCGAGGGCTTCCTTTTCCCACTCCCGCAGCCGCCAGCAAGAGGAAAAGTGGGTCGTGCTGGGAGCACGCTGGGACAGAGGCAGGAATGTCACCTGCCATGTGGGAGGTGACCCAGCTGGCTCCCGGGTGACCTGGACATTCCCAGTTCCACACTAAATGTCCCTTAGCAGTTTCCTGTTCCCTGTCTACCGGTGAAGCCTCAGAAACAACCCGGGTTTTATAAATGTAAAAGGCTTCCCGTGGTTTCCCAGAGGTTGTCCTGCAGGGGATTTCCTGTTGACAGAAATACAGGAAGAAGCAGCGGAGAGGACGTGCTGGTTCAACATCTGTGTCTGAGTCCCTCTGCTGGCGGTAACGCTGCTGGGGGAGGCCTGCTGCTTCTGGGGCTGGGAGAACTGGCCAAGCAGGCAGGATGGGCCCATCATATCACAGCCAACAGCCGGCGGCCTCGCAGGCACTGTTGCTGAGACAGCAGGGCTCAGTGTCTGCAATGTCAGGTCCATCCCCGGCCGTGCTCAGATTCCACACACAGAAATAGCAAGGGAAATATTTAAGCCAGCGGTTTTCAAACTTGGCACAGATGAACCAATTGCTAAAATTCTATGCACAACAAAAGAATATATTTTTGCCGATCTGACAAAAAAAATAGGTGTAATTTTGATGCATTCACACCGGACAGCTATTGTGTTGGCTGTTGTCATCTTTTACTTTGATAACCTAAGAGAAAAAAGGTCAGGTATTGCATGTTTTAAAAATTTTTTCAGCACACGGTTGAAAATTGTTGATTTAAGCTGGGGGGATGGGGGCTTTAGGATTTTTTTTTTCTCCATATATTGTAGGGAATTCCAAATCTGAGGCTCTTGTCTCTTATCCGTGATTAATAAGTGCACACTCGGGAACTGGCTGTTGCTGGCTGGTTCCCTGTCCAAAAGAACACTGTGCTTGCAGCACCAGGGAGTGTGTCATCCGAGGAGCCTGGCCACACTGCCGCCTTTATGCGCTCAGCACAGCTGGCCATCTGTTTTACTCAGATGACTGGCTCTTATTTTCTCAGCACCCGTCTCTGATTAGCCTCTTTGTCAGTGGCCTATCTCTTTAACTGGCCTGTCTGTCTGTCTGACACTGGGCATTCCTCCCACTTTATCCTGTTTGCTATTTCTCATTGACTCCGGCATGTGACTGGTCTTACATGGCCAAAGACAGTTTGACGAATATCTGCTTGGGAGACAGTTTAAACAACAGGATGATCAGGGAGACAGCAGGCTCTTGTGGTAGGACACAGCAGTTTATTTCAGAAAACCAAGAGGCATCTGTTCACCTGGGTAACAAAAAATCTATTTGGAAGCTTCGTTTTTGTGAATGTCAATAAATGCAGATAATTGGGCCCCTTTATATAAAAGCCAATGTTGGTGCCAAAAATTATCTGAGGCAAGGCAAGTTATATAATCTGAGGCAGGAAAAAAAAAGAAATAACAATTGCTTGACAATTTTTTTTCTTTCACTAGTGTTGTCTTCTCGTAATTTGCTACCTGCATCAGTTTTCCAGGAAGTAAGAGGAGTGGTTAGGAAGAAAATTGGAAAAGCAATTTGGAGGTGGGGAGAGGTGGAGCTTGTGAAACAGGCAAAGGGAGGTTGTTGCAGGTGACAGGTCTGGTGGGCAGAGGGTGGAGGAGGCAAGGAAGGTGCCAGGAAGATGATTCTCTCACTCAAAAGAAATGCAATCTGAGGTAACCTCCTATTTGAATACATGCTGCAAATAAAACCTCCCTCTTCTTTTTTTTTTTAAACAGGAACCACTTGAATTAAAATTTCCAAACATCTCTTATCCTGCCCTGGGGCTCTTGAAGGTAAAATCATGGTTTCCAGCCAACCAGGAAGCACACAGCCTCTGTTCTCCCTGGGGAATCCACAGATTGAAAAGTGTTCCTTTCAGAATTCTTCTCCTTTCAAAAGTATAAATATTTTCAGTTTTTAAAATGGGTCCCATTCTATTACGGTAATAACATCTGTAAGTGTTTTTCACTTTAAAGATTTTTTTAAATTGCTTTTTAGGAGATGGAGAGGGAGATATTCATCAGCTGCCTCCTGCATGCCCCCTCCTGGGATGGAACCCGAGATCCAGACTTGTGCCCTGACTGGGAATTGAACCAGTAACCTTTCAGTACATGGGAAGATGCCCAACCGAGGCACACACCACTTTACATAAACCCAACATTGTATTTGACTTCTAAATTTACCCAAAATAGAAATTTCAGAGGAGTGGTGCTTGTTTTTAAAAAGGATCCTTTCTTCGAAAAATGTTTAGCCATAGGATCCTTTTAAAGAGCCAACTCCCTAGTATACTTGAAGTAGATTTTGATTTTAAAGCTTTATATACAAAACTTTATATACATACACATTTTTAGAAATATGTCTTATGTAAATGAGGTGCCAATTAAAATATTTGCAAGTTACTGTCAATATATTTCATCCATTTCAAAAAGTATTTAATGCATTTACGGATGCATTTATAACATAATTTAAAATGTGAGACAGTTCATTGGGGTATGGGGTCATGAGATTTAATCTATTCAATTATGAGCCCTATGGCCTATTTATTGGCAAAGCAAATAGTTAAGAATGTTGTAATATGAAGGGATGTATATTATGCCTCTGCTTCCATGCAGACCGTGTGCTTGTAATGCATAGACTATTTCTGAAGGAACATACACAAAAAACCTGATTTCAGAAGGGGGAATGGAAGAACTAGAGTGGTGGAGAGACTTTGCTGAATCTTGTAGGCATTTTATTTTTACCACGTGTAGGTATTATTTGTTAAATTAAAAAAAATACACATCTAGTTGTTTTGTTTTTTTCTTTTGTTGATTTCAGAGAGGAAAGGAGAGGGAGAGAGAGAGAGAAACATCAATGATGAGAGAGAATCATTGATTGGCTGCCTCCTGCAGGCCCCCCACTGGGGATCGAACCCACAACTGGGCATGTGCCCTTGACCAAAATCGAACCCGGGACCCTTCTGTTTGCAGGCCGACACTCTGTCTACTAAGCCAAACTGTCTAGGGCACCACATCTAGTTTTTACAAAGTCCATGCAAGGGACTAAACAGACTAAGTGTATTCTACTCCCTCGGGGCAGAGCACCAACTGTTCTCAGGAAGAGAACAAGGTGGGGAAATGATTTTTTGTTACTATTTCTAGAAACTATTACGTGGTTTCTCATTTAGGAATGATCAGGGAAGGAACTAAAATCATGATTGGATGTTTTTCCCCCTTTACTTCCTCCCTCCCCCTCTTGTTTCCAACTGATTAAACTATAAGTTTAATCTTACAAAGGAGAAAGAAATTACATTAATAAGTTAGTATTATATTTTTAAAGTAAGATGGAATGTTCTCTTCTTTCAGGGCTGTCTTCACATGGATCCTGCTGAGAGACTGACGTGCGAACAGCTGTTGCAGCACCCATATTTTGACAGCATCAGAGAAATAAGGGATTTGGCAAAATATCATGACAAACCAACAAGGAAGACCCTGAGACAGAACCCAAAGCACCTGCCTGGGGTAAAAATGGGGCACTGCTTTACGAAAGCATCCAAGGTTACAGCTTCGAATGACCTCATACCTGCCACCTGGTGAAAGAGTCTGAATCTATATTTGAGGTGGCAATTGTGGCTTGCAGCTCCAGCACCTCGTTCCAGCCCCAGGACACTGGTCACATGATTTCCCAACCAGGGCCCCAAGAGACAGCTGCTTCCTAAGGCTCCTTCTCCTTGAATCCTAAAGGTGTCCTTGCCCTGCAGTTCCCAGCTGCCACACAGGGCCAGGGTGTTTGGCATGCATGAGCACAGGTCTCAGCCGGGTACCCGGGTGTCAGTCCAGCTTTGGAAAATGAAGTCAGATTTATCCCAGCTAGCTCTGGGTCATCTTGTTTACCTTGAATATTAATTGACATTCCCAAAAAGGAAGTGTTTCCCATCCTGATCCTGTAATCGTCAGAGTTGGCTAGGGTAAATGCAGTGATGAGTGCCTCAGTGATAGCAGCAGAACAGTGCATGTAACCAAGTAGCATCCTGGGTGAGGGGCTGATGGCTGTTTGCACATTGGGAGCCCCTGGAGAGTTGCGATTGGCGTAAAGTGGCAGAATGGCCTTCCATTGCCTTGTCATAAGCCAAAAGCTGTAAAAATTTAGAATGGACTATAGTCGGAACCACAACTAAGATCAGCTGGCTGCCCTAGTCACTTCCGGAACTGCCTTAAACTTTTCCTTTGCAGCTTCCACTGCACAGCAGGCTGAATGATATCTGATGGTGTGTGTGAGGTTTGGAGGAGGGAAGAGGTTGTTCAGGCCATTAGGAACAGGTACCAAATGAACTCCAGGGTCCTAAGATAGACCAGAGTTTCAAAATTAAGAATGCTTTTATTTTATTTTATTCTCTATCATATGTGATCCAAATAGCAAAACAGACTGGAAATAGACTTTCTCCCCTTATCTTGCTGTTTCTTTGTGTTCAAGAATAAAGGGTCTTGATGGAAATATTTTTACTTGAAAGAATATGGGAATACCACTAATTTGTATTACTTGTAAGTACTGAACAATTCAGCTGTTTGATTGAAAAATAAAAAATACCTGCTTTTCAGATATCTATGGCTATATAGTACAACTAGTGCCCCAGTGAAGGGATTCGTGCACATTGAAAGGAAATTAATTAGAAGGTGGCCGGCAGGGTGGGACTGGGTGAGACACGAGCCGGACATGCCCTGGAGCCAACCTCCCGCAGTCTTTTCCTGGCCGGCCGCACCTGGGGCGACACTCGGCTCAAAGGGCGTCTGTGGAGTGAACAGGGTCCTTCCAGCAGGTGGGGTCCCTCAGCCTGGCCTGTGGAAATCGGCCAAAACCGGCTCTCTGACATCCCCCCCCCCACCCCAGGAGTCCCAGATTGTCAGAGGGCAGTTCTCAGGTGTCACACCCCGGAATCGGGCTCCCTCCTCTCTGGTTCCAGGGCAGGTCACCCAGGAACCACCGCTGCCAAGTCACCTCAGCTCAGCAGCTCCTGCGTTGAGCGTCTGACCCCTGGTGGTCAGTGCGCGTCATACCTACCGGCCAGTCGTTTAGCGAGATATATATACACACACATACACACACACACACACACACAAATAATATATGTGTGTTCTCCTTACTTTCACATGACATTTTCACATGAAGGGAGCAGTTCTTTTTAACCGAGGAGTAAGCAGGCAAATCGCCCAAGTGCCCCAACATCAGTTTTCTTTGCTATAAAACAAGGCATTGGCTTAAAAGGTTCCTAAGGTCCTGTGAATGTCTGCTTTTCCCCAATAATGTTAACATGTAGATTTTTCATTTTTACATTCTCTAAATTTTCTTTAATGTTTATGTTTTTCTTTTTAATATGAAATAAACCTCTAAAAGGAAAAGCAGAGACCAAAATTAAATATTTTGTCCTTTCTCAGGTTCTGGATTCTGGGCAGATAAAGTATTTCTGTGCTAAAAATTTTACTTATGTCTTTTGTGATGTGTTATCAACAATGAAAAAAGTGTATGGTGTTGAACCTAATTCTATGTGTTGTATTTTCAGTTGCAGAACCTACCTCAGTTGACTGGCAGCAGCATCCTTCCAGCTCTGGATAATAAGAAGTACTACTATAATACCAAGAAACTTAACTACCGTTTTCCAAACATTTAAGGAGCTTGGAGATGGATGACAAAAAAGAACTGATCAATAACCCCAAGAAAATAAAACATACATTTGACTGAAGACCATCACAATGTTGAGAAAACATAAGTAACTAACTGGAGGAAGCCACTTGGCAAGATGTGAAGGGAAATTCCAGAAGCAATCTTCCATGCTTGATGATGGTATCCAGAACAGAAAGGAAAAACTCGTTTTGATTTCCACTTGTGTTTTTGTTGTATCTAAGTAGCTGGACTTATGGACAGACATATAAATAGTATCGACTGCCCATTCCTCTGGCAAAACTAGTCACATAAAAAAGATTTATGCTTCAGTTGTACAATATGCAACAAGTGAAAAATAGATTACAAAACACCCAAATGTATTTCCTTGGATCCTATCTCCTGCTTTTTCAGATTGCTTCAATATATTTAAAAAGAGTTTTTGTTCTTGAAATCAAAATACTTAAGATCCCATTTCCTGCTTGCTCTATCTCTTGGTTTTTTAAAATTTAAACTATTTTTTTGGAATATTTAAGAGTTGTTCAAAATATTTAATATCATGGATTATCACAAAAGACTAGCATATGCTTATATATTTAGTGATATGTTTATAGATATTTTCCCCATGTACTTTTGTCTTTACCTTTAGTAAAGGATGCATCTCGTCACTTTTTCAGGCAAGATGGATTTACTATATCCATCTACATTTGTTCACTCAATTCCCCTTGCTAACAATGGCATGAAGATTGGCAGCTGCCAAGGTGATCAAGGAGTAGAACAAAACCTATAGGCTTGGCAAGAACTACACCTGCCAGCCTAAAAGCATTTAGAACTTCATTCTCTCCAGCTCAGCCTCAGGCTTGGAGACAGATCTGCAGGTAGGGCTATAGGGATCTGGGTTTTGGAAGAAATTGCTTCTGAGCTTTTACTTGGGTCATGAAAGACATTAGGTTGTAAACCTAATATATATACACAAAGGGTGGGGCAAAAGTAGATTTACAGTTGCTTGTATAGAAAACAATACAATAATAATATAAGAATAAACTGAGTTTTCATGTATTCATAACTGTAAACCTACTTTTGCCCCACTCTGTGTGTGCGTGTGTACACTATGATAACTAATAATAAAAATGTAGTCTAAGTGCTGATGGGTGGTAAAGATCGTCAGCCTGAGCATCGAAGGGTCTCAGGTACCATTTCCGGTCAAGGGCACATACCTGGGTTGCAGATTGGGTCCCTGGCCTGACCTGGTTGGGGTGTGTGCAGGAGGAACTAATTGAGTGTCTCTCTCACATCAATGTGTGTCTCTCACTTTCTCTACCTCCCTCCCTTTCTTCCACTCGCTCTCTAAAAACCAATGGAAAAAATATCCTCCAGTGAGGATTAAAAAAAAAATGTATTATTAAGGATTCCTAGCTTTGCACAGTGATACTTAAAATGACAAAATTAGCTCTGCTTTGGCCTATTGCTCCTATTCAAACAGCTTTTTCATCCTCGTCACCTGGACACAAGGGCAATATAAAATTCTGTTTCTTGTAACTCAGCCATTTTTGGTTGATGTGATGCTACTATTTCCTAGCAGTTCTCAGCCATGGTTTTAAAAGTTGTATTTGACTGTATCTTCGAAACATTTCTTCTACACCCTCAGTTTACTGCTATGTTAATTTTCTTCATGAGAGCATTAGACCTTATTACTTACAGCTAAGTAATCCACCAAATTCTGACAACTGTTCAATCATTTTGGCTGCCCAGCCAATTTAATGATATCCATAGTCTTCCTGATGTATGTAGCTTCTTGTGTAGAGCTGATAGTAAGCTGACTAATCCCAGTATTAACTCATTCTTGTTATGTAGCCCTGATTCAAAGGACAAAGAAGGATATCCAACTTCTGTGACTAGTTTACATTTGGTGTTTTTCTTCTTTTCCTTAACACAAAACAATGCACTTGACAAGGCAGATGATTATAACTGCCTAATTAATCTAATAGTTTTACAGAAAACCACTCAGAATAGAAAAGTAGCTCCAGACTAAACTGTGGTGAATCAGTTGCTTCATCATATAGTAATCAAACAAACGAGACAGAAGTGCTTATTTTTTATGAGTTCTATTAAATGTATGCTTATGTTTAACCATATCTGTAATCCTTTCTTCACATGGAATCACCACTGTTTCACATGAAACTATTCTATATCCTTGTCTTTTTTGTAAATGTACTAATTTCTGATTTTTTAAAATGACAGTGGCAATTATTAGTAAATAGTGTATCATTTATGGTATGTTCTATTTATATAAGCTAGTTTCTGAACACAATTAAAATTCATTTTTCTACCTAAATTCTGTATCATAGAAAGTGTTTATTTTGACATTATTTGCAAAGTTCTATTCAAACCAAATGTACAGAAATCCACAAACAAGTTGGCATATAACTAACAATAACTGAATCAGGGCCACTTTAAGCAGGTAAAAATAAAGATATATTTTTATCTACTTAATAATAATCTTTAACACTGTTTTCTAGATATAAAATGAATATTGTCTTTAAGGTATCCTTGAGGTCACAGGAAATAATATCCACTGTATATGGGGAAATAAAAATCCATTTCTAATTGACATGTTAAAGTTCTCTGTTTATAGCAATTTTTTAATTTAAGCAAAAAGTGCTGGTCTTCATGATTGTTTCCTCTATTCTAATGCAATCAGCAGAACTATTTGAATTCAGCCACGTATTTATGTCTACTTATAATAAAATACCAGACTAAGCTTAGCAAATAGACAAGTTAGCCAGAAACTACTCATTCAGAGAAAGGGTGTAAGTATGAAAAAACACAGGAATGCAGAATTATGAGAAAGGCATGCAAATCCTGAGAGCGATATGAATGCCTCCACAACTACCGACTTCTTGGCATAATTGACTTCAATGAATCTGAAATTTAGCTTTCAGTTTTCCAAAATTATACATTTATAGTAACATGCTTCAATAACTTTAAAGTGTAACATACAATCAAGAATATCTGTGTTGTAGATTTAAATGTCTTTAAAGAATTCTAAGTCAGTATCTACATCGAGATATCTATATAAAATGAGTAAATTAAAATGTTACCTAGTTTGCATCACTTCAGTTTAGTAACTTTAATGAGTCTCATCTGAATATTTATTTTCTACATGATGGACTTTCTGCTTTTAAAATATCATGATATGACATCCTTATAGTTCTATTGATGCTTACATAATATTCGTTGCTGTTTAGGATCAATTTTAAATGATACTTTATATTGAATAAGGCACTTATTGATGATTATTATTTTGCTTCAAGTCAAATTTTAGTTCCAGATAAGGTAGTAATGCCTTAAAGATTTTAACAAGGTTTTCTTTCTCTCTTATTCCAGGAAGATCACTTAGCAACAAATACCTGAGGTTTCTGTAAAAAAAGAAAGAAGTTACTTCAATTTGGCCTTTACTCTTATAGCATTAAAACTTAGCTTGATTTATTGACTTTTAGAAAAAACTACAGTCAGAATATGTATATTTGTTGTTCAGAATTACATCAATAATTCTAGCTGAATCTTTCCAAATACTATATGTATATTACGGCATAGAATACCTTTGCCTGAGAGAGATAAAATATGAATCTTAACCTAGAAAGGGGAACAAATTAGCAAAGTTCTTAAAGGAACTCAAAATGAAGCCTTGAAGCCTCAACTAATGTAAGAAACAAATAATCTAGTATTTTTGGTTCTAATGTTTAAAATTTCTCAAACTTCCTGTGATACATTATTGGCAAAACATGGAAGAAATTAATTTAAAAAGTGGAGAGGAAGCATAATAGCTAATGTTTGAGAGCTTACTGTAGCAGGCACCATGCTAGGAACTTTACTTAGATTTAATTTTTTAAGCAATATCCCTAAAAAATGCAATAAAACCATACTGTATTAAAGTTGATAATTTCAACTGTTTTAAAGTATTAAAGATGAAAGTTAAGTCATTTTCTTTTATTTTTCAAAACAAGACACCATCCCTCAACTGATTTAAATTCTGATGTTTCACCTTAACATCATTATCAAGTTTCCATTTTGGCACTGACCACCTACCTTAAATTTTGCAAAGCAATGATGCCTTTGTCTGTGACATTCCCACATGAAATTATTTCCATTTCCAACAAACTTTTTTGTAAATTTTCAAGTTGACTAATTCTCTCCAAACAGTCATCCTCGATATAATGACACTTGCATAGCCTTATTTTTTCAACGTGCTGTAGGCCCTCTGGGAGGAAAAGAGCAGTTGAAGAACCTGTTTTACCATTAAAATAACCAACTCTCCTAGTTTTCCCAGGGCTGTTCTGATTTTAGGATTGAAAGTCCTATGTCCTGGGAAACCTCTCAGTCCCAGGAAAACTGGAACAATTAGTCACCTTAATAACTATACATGGTATTCACTATACAAGTTGTGCTGACAGGACCATTTTGCAGTGAAACATCCAGGCACTGGGGGGGGGGGGGGGAGGTGCGGGGGAGAACCACCCAAGCAGAAGCTGTGTGGATAGAATTATTCTTACATCATTGAGGATCTCTCAATGACAAAAGTTTGACAGACAGTTTGACAAACAAGGCTTGAATTTTAAGTCAATAAGCCACAGAATAAAGTCATGTAGAGACAAACTTAGTAAGGGGAGAAAGGAGAGGAAGGTGCTTGTAACCTCTAATTTAAAAATATTATACCTAAGAAGAAACAAACTGGATGATATTGAAAAGGCAAAAAGAACATATCTATGACTATAATATTCAACTGCAACAAAATGTCACTGTAAATTACCTGCATTTTTCATAAGCAACTGATAGGATAGTTACCTAGATGATCAAATCCAATGTTCATGATACAAGAGTCAGTGGCATCGATGGCCTGGATCTTGTATTTGTCCAGAGGGCCTGTTGGGAGGTTGTTGTAGTCCTTCTGCCACCTCTCCTGGCCGTGATAGCGTACCATGGCCCCGCAGCGAAGCAGCCACTCGGAGGCCGCCCTTTCGGGGCCAACTTCCTTGATGCGTTCACGATCTACTCTATTGGAAAGAAAACAAAAGCAGTTAGCTTTTACTATAATCATTAGCTTTTTAACTATATTCATCAACATAAATACAGAAAAGACTTTTCATTTCAAATGACTGAGGGAAACAAGTATACTAGTGAGATCCATGTCAAAAAAAAACATACAATGACTCTACCTGCTACCTTTCTTGCTTTATTTTTGTTTCCAAGTGAACTCTGTGAAGGCATATTATTTTTATATGAGTTTATCAGGCAGAAGTTAGTCTTCATTGATTCAGATGTAGCACAGTGCTTGACACCAGGAAGTACTCAATAACTTGTATCAAAAGAATGATACACTTGGTTATTGTTTTTATTAATGATAAAAGATTAAAGGGAATAATTTTGAACCTATGTTCAAATTAATCTTATTAAGTGATATTAATTTTTATATATGCCTTTTTCTCTAGTCAATGGTGTTATTGCTATATTAAGCAATGAGGAAATTAGCTTCTTCAGTTTCAAAATGATGCTTCTAAGCATGCCACACATTTTTTAAAAACTTGAGTTGCCTTCATAGTATTCAAAAGGCTAACTACATCCATTAAGAAGCCATAGAGTTAAATATTCTAAAACTACATTTACTGAGCTTTTCTGATTATAAAAATAATAAATGTTCATTTTAGGAAACTTGAAAGGCATGGAAAAGCCAAATAAGATAAAAGTCACTGACATCCTGCAACCCAGTCATGTTAATATTTTATCATCTATTTTGGGGTCTTTATTCAATTTGTGTATATATTTTATTTGTTTTTAAACAAAATGAGGCTCATACTGCACACACTATACAAAAAAATCATTTGGAATACAAGAAATAACCAAATAACTATTGCGAATTCATCTATCTTTAACAATTCTCACATTTCTTCATTTTAATTAGAGTAACTTACTTATTAAATACTGCATTCAACCAGCCCCAGAAGTATCTGGAGTCACATGACCATGGGAGTTTCTTTAAGCCACACAACTGCCAGGAAATTTTTCCAAACAGCATCATTTGATCTAGAAACACAACACAGTATTACTATTTGATCATCAACTGGCAATCAGAGTCATGTACATATAGTCACTTCACAACTTCAGTCAATGATGCTGTGCCAATAAAGCTGATGACTCCCTTGCCTCTCAATCTCTATTGACTCCTGTCTCAGTTTCCCAGTTTCTTTTGCTACAAAAACAAACAAACAAACAAACAAAAAAACTTCTGTGGTTCCTTCCAGCCTTGATATTAAGTTCCACTGTTCTATCCTGTCTGCACTGTTGCCACCTGGTGTCCATATAAAATTATTGAAACAACCCCACTCCCAATCTACATTTCCAGTATCAAAATGGCAAACTAAAATCACCTCCGGAGCAATATGCCACGGTCCACACAGTTATATCCAGGAAGGAAGAGGTGACATGGAAACAGATCTTCCTATGACAAGAGTGCAAATAGTGTCACCAGAACAGTGCAAAGAGCTGTGGAAGGGCAGCTGCGAAAGACTGGGCAAGTAACTTCACCTCTCTGACCCTTGGTTTTCTCATTTGTGAAAAGAGATGATGTGCACAGATGACTTCCAGCTGTAAAAACCTATAACCATGAGTTGAGGAAGTGATTTTTAAAATGGATCTCAATTTGATTTATGTCAATTCAAGTTTCTCTAGAAGTATGCCAGGTGTGGGGGAAACACTGAGAAATGAAACTTGGTCTCTGCCTTTGAGGAACTAACAACTTAAGGCAGAGTGGAGTGAGCGAAAACAAGTTACCAAGTAGTTAAAATAAAAGATATTGTCTGATAAATACTTCAAAAGTTAAAATAAGAACAGACCAGAATTTCAATAATCCAGGTGATTAGCTGAGGCAGGGACATTGAAGTCATGATGCATTTCAGTTTGGTTAGCTTATGAGGGTACGTAATGAGGAGACAATTTACACAGTCACATCAGAAAGGGTCTGGCATAATCAGCCAGGAAATTTTGACTTTCTTCTGCAGGTGGTTGGGAGTCACTGAAGTTTTAGCACAGAACACTGGCATTTTTAGAACTATGATTCAGGAATACTACTCAAACAGCAACATCAAGATCGAGTACACTAGCACCGGACAGAAAGACAGCTAACAAGGGTTTCAACTACATGTGGCCATGGGAAAACGGCCAGGGGTGGGGGACTGGGGGAGAGGAGAATTGGAATGACATTGCAGAATGGATCCCACATGATTCAGTAAATGAGATTATAGGGGCGAGGGCCAGAGAAACTGAAGATGACACTGAGCTTTGCTCCTGAGTCACTGGTCGGATGATGGTGCCATTATGAAATCAATGTCAGAAGGACAGGGTTGTGGTTTATTCCCCAGTTTTTCATATTCTAAATATGAAGTGTTGGCAGAACTTCTAAGAGGAGAGGACCAACAAGTGATTAGAATCAGTGATTAGAATGGTAGAGCTGGAAGGAACTCAGATCACCTAGACTACACTGTCTCCACGTCACCTCATTTAGAGACAAGGAAACTGAAGCCCTGATATTAAGTAACTTGCTGACACCCTACATCCTTTCCAGAACAAGGTGGGGTTTTAATAAATGCATGTGTTTAAAAGGACTTGCCCAGTGTTTCATGGTTAATTGGTGGCAGTGCTGAAACTTGAACCTAGTTCTGGCTACTACCAGTCCAGAGCTCTTTCCTTGGTCATAAGATGGTCCTGCAACTCAGGGAAAAAGGGAGGACTAGAAAGAGGCCTGAGTGGGAACCACCTCAGACTGAGGAAGTGACTGAGGATGTGGAGACTGTGGAACAGTGAGAGATGAGGTCTGAGGACAGAATCTGGAATCACCTGCCCACCCCCTCCCTTTTCCACCATCACTCTGCCTGCATTACTGCAAACTTTCCCTCCCCCCTGCTATCACTTCCACGTTCTCAGCCCTTCCCAGCTTTTTGTTAAAGCTCCCTCCACCTGTGTCCACCTCTAATAACTCCATTGGCTGCCAACCTCATTTATAAATCTGGACTTTCTAGCTTCAATTCAACTCAGGCTGTGCCCTCTATTTACCATTCCTCCCCACCCACCCAATCCTGTCTATGGAAATCTTACCCAACTTCAAGACCTTATTCAAATGCCATCTTCATCATACATCTATTCATTCACTCAATAAATATTTATTAAATGTCTACTATACCTAGTTCAAGAGATATAATGGGAAGGTAGAAAAACCAAACAAAACAACAGAGACAAAGATATGGTTCCTGTCCTCATAGAATGTATAGTCTAATGAAGGCAGAAGACATAAAGAAATAACATGCAACATGGTGTCTTAGTAGAGGTATGACCAAGTTCTATCAGAGCCTAAAAGAGTTTTCTTTTGGGATGGCTCTTAAAGGATGATTAAAAGTTTCATTAGGCAGAAAAAGAAAAGTATGTAGAGCAAAAGAAAGACCAAGGATCACATCTTATTCATTTCCATTTTGCTTAGTACCTAGCACAATGCAAGAGTTGAATATTTGCTAATAGTCTTTAATGATTGATGTATTTCCATGGAGAAAGGTAAAAACCAGAGAAACTGTTATTAAGCAGGTAAATTTGAGTGGTCTATGAAAACTGATGGACTTTGACTTATTTTGGCCCACCTTATAATTCAGCTTAAAGAAAAGGCCAAATTTGCTACTTCAGCTATCAGCTTAAAGAAAAGGCCAAATTTGCTACTTCAGCTATGATTTCTAAAAATACTAGATATTATATTAAAATAATTTAAACATGAAAATCAAATGTTTATTTATCAATAAAGATAAAAAATAAATTGGTAGGTTTTTACATTCTCAAGTGTGACTTGCTAATTAAATTTAGCAATTTCTAAGGAATTCAAGCTACCTCTGGGAATGCTTTCTATATGGAGAGAGGAGACCTCTAGTGGTGAGTTGGTGAATTTAACTCTAATGGATTAAAAGAAACCAGTTAAAACCAAGTTAAAAATTACTACTAAATTACTGCTGCAATAAATAATTCATGAATTAAAATAATTTAAAAAGACCTTCTTACTATCAGAACATGGCTTAGAGCCATAAATTTATAACTGATGTTTCTAAAACTTGCAATTATGTTTATGACTTAGAGAAGGCCAGACCTCGCAGCTGAGGGTGGTGTCATGAACACAAATGTCTCTAGCTAGCCAAATATCTTACAGGGTGTATAAATGTAAGGTGAGCTCTTGATTTGAAATTACTTAATTGAAAGGGGAGACGGTAAGCAGAAAAATTTTTTTATAAAAAGAGCATGTGTATTGGAGTGCTTTTACCTTGTTAAACTAAGAAACACATGCTCAAAATCAGAGCAATAAAAAGCTACTATGGTCCATGAAAGTCTGATCACAGACCCTGGAAGTGTCTAATGCTGTATTCAATCTAGTAACAAATCAACTACTACATCTGTGCAAACTAAAAAATAACCATCTCGGTGGGGGGAGGGGGTGTGTCAATTGGGGAAAAAGAAGACAAGTGTAAAACTTTAGAAAATAAAAATAAATAAATAAAAATAACCATCTCCACTACATACCTATCAGAATGATTAAAATAAAAAATAGTGACACCGCGCTACTGGTTTGGGTCAGTGAATAAAGCATCAGCCCGAGGACTGAAGGGTCCTGGGTTCAATTCCAGCAAGGACACGAACCTCGGTTGCAGGCCCTGGTTGGGGCGAGTGAGGGAGGCAACCAATCGATGTGTCTCTCTCACATTGATGTTTTTCTGTCTCTCCCCTTCCCTTCTACTCGCTCTAAAAATCAATGGAAAAATATCCTCAGGAGAAGGTGGATCACTCGAATATTGCTGGTGGAAATGTATAAAGGTGCAGCCACTTTGGAAAAGCAGTTTGGCAGTTTCTTATCAAAATAAACAGGTGCTTATCATATGACCCAGCAATTGTACGCTTGGGAATTTCTCCCAAACAAAAATAGGTTCATACATAAAAAGCTGCACATTAATGTTAACAGCAGCTTTATTCAAAAGTAGTTAAAAACTGGCAACAACTCAGATATCCTTTAGTGGGTTAAACATACTGCGGTACCATGAACTACTACTGGACAGTAAGAAGGAATGAGCCATCAATACATGCGACAATTGAGATGGACCTCAGGGGATTATGCAAAAAGCCAGTTTCCCAAAAGTTAAATACAGTATCATTCTGTTTATATAAATTCTTAAAGTGACACAATTTTAGAAAGGGAGAACAGACTGGGGAAGGGGTGCCCTGCGGTAGGGAGGTGCGGTTATACAAGGGCAGGGAGGGATTCTTGTGCTGCAGCTGTGCTGTAGCTTGACCCTGGGGGTGGGTACAAGAACCCACACACGTGATGAAAACTATGTGGAACTAAATACACACATACATGTAACACGGGAAATCTAAATAAGACCGATGGATGGTGTCAATGTCAATTTCTGGTTGTAATGTGCCACTGTTTTGCAAGATGTTATCACTGAGGGAGACTGAGCAAACGGTACACAGAATCTCTACTGATCCTTACAACTGCATGGACATCTACAATTATCTCAAAAAATTTTTAAAAATTTCAAAAATAACCATCCCTTGAAAATAAATTGTGATGGAACAAGCAGGTAACATTCTAATTGTTTGCACGAATAAAGCAGAACATGTACAACTATCCGAAGGTTAAAGCCATTTCGAGCATGACAACTACCGAGTATTCGCTGTGCTAAGAGCTGATGAGCCTTATGAGGGAGACCCGACATTAGTCCTGGTTCATGGGCGGGCGGGCGGGCACAGAGGCGAAAAGGCTCCAGAAGCCCCATGACTAACGCCTGGAACCAAATCCAGACGGGCAGGTAGAGTCCCTCCGGCCATGAGGCGGTACCATTCTATTGTTCTGTTCCGCTGTTCTGACCCGACACATGTTCAACTGCCATGAAGCACGGTGTTAAGCTGGCAGGTGATCATCATAGTTTTAGATGAATGAGGCATTTGAGAGATTCCAGCCCACCTCCCGCACTTTTCAGGAAAGATCACGAGAGGTGTGACCTGCACAGGAAGTCGGTATTCCCAGGCCCGCGCGGGGTACTGAAAACTGTATCTCGGCCCCGTGTTAACGACCAGGAAACCGGTCGCTAAACGATGGCCGAGGCCGAGCGGGGCCTGGGTCATCGAGGCGGTATTTACAGGACCCTAAGCAGCCGGATGAATGGCCGCGCGGGAGCCCCACAAAAGAAGGCCGCGGGGCTCTAAGGGCCTCGGTCCGGAGCGCGGGCCAAGGCCGGCCGGCGCGCGCTGACCCGGGCCGGAGCCCGGGAGCCGACGGGGCTGGGCGGGGCCGAACCGAAGGAAGGGAGGCCGCTGGGCCCGCCCAATCGAGTTTTCACTATAATCTTGCCCAGACTTTCTTCCCAGGCCCCGCAGCTGGTGGACGTCCAAGGTCAGACCCCGCGACGCGGCGGGGCAGGTTGTCGGTAAGCCCGGCGCGCGGAGAAGGGAAAGGGCAGAGTGAAACCACCACCCTAGGCCCGTCCCGCTCGGGCCCAGCTCCTCAAATCGCTGCGTCGCAGGAAGGGAGCGAGCGAGCGTCCCGGCGTGTACGGCTGCGCCGGCCTGCCCTTCGCCCTCCGCCGCGCGCGCCCATTGGTCACTGGCAGCCCTCCCACGTGGAGCGAAGGCGCGCGCCTCATTGGTCCGTGCGCGGGAGGTGGGGCTAGAGGGCACCGCGGACCCTGCGGAGTGTCCTGCTCTAGTGGCCACGCTGGGGCTGAGGCAGGGGAGGGGACGCAGGCGATGGTGCCCGCGCTGCGTTACCTGGGCACTGCCTGCGGCTGGGCCCGCGGAGGTTCCCCCAGGGGCATCCCCGCGGCGTGCGGGCCCGCGCTGGGCAGGCCGCGGCCGTTGTGCCAGGGTTCCCGCAGCGCCAGCACTAGGTGAGTAGCCGCCGGCCCGCCCCCGCCGCCTACGCTGCATCTTCGAGGTGCTTCTTGCTGGACCTGTGCCCAGGGGAGGTGCTTCTTACTCCCCTGCCCCCGGCGTGAGAGAAGGTCGAGATCCTGCGGAGCACGGGCTCCACGCTCGGGTCTCAGGAGCCACCTGCAGGATTTATTCGTCGTGTTTGTGGGCGGGAGGAGAAGAATGAGAGCGCTGAGTAGAGGGCTACTACCGCCTGTCTTTGCACACAACCCCTCCACGTCCTGTTTCACTCCGGGCGGGTTTGCTTGAGCTCCTTGAAGGTTCGGTTGTGAATGGGTGCCTAGGCTCGCCCGCAGGTGATCGTTTTGAGCGTTCAAGGACCTTGCCCACTGTAAGCAATCAAATAAGGCTGTTTATTAGCTGGCATCTCGGGTGCTACTTGGAAGATCAGAATCCAGTCTTCAATCAATTCCAGGCAGACACTACGCAGAGTTACCTCACTGAGAAGCAGCTCAGAGGCTAATCGAAGCCTGCAGAATCCAGTGTCCTGTGATTTAAAGTTTGGAGGTCACATTGGAAACCACTGGTTTTCCCTGCTTTCCTTAGAGATGATGGTTTATGCGAAGCTGGAAAGCTTGGCTGTTTCGAGAATTAAGAAGTTGAGTGTGACTGGAGCTTAGCGCCAGAGATGGTGTGGAAGGACACCAGGAGAGGGGCTTCCTCACAACAGGGGTTTTATTTTATTTTAATTACACAGCGAATTTTATTCTAAGAGCGTTGGGAAGCTTTTAAAGGGTTGTTAAGAAGAGGGAGTGATTGAATGCTGATGTTTCAAAAATTTACTCTGGTTGCTGTATGTTACTGTATTGGAGGGGGATTAGAATGGGACAGGATTTGGGGAAGCTTTTCTTAAGGGAAGAAACGTAGGCTTAGGGAAGGTTTTGTTTATACTTTTTATTTTGAAATAATTATGGATTTATAGAAGTTTGCAACAAGGCAGCACTCTCATTTACCCCAATGATAACATCTTACATAACTATAGTACCATATCAATACCAGGAAATTGACATCGGTTCAATCCATAAACCTTGTTCAGATTTCATCAGTTTTACATGCACTCATTTGTGTGTGTGTGTGTATGTTTCTATGCAATTATGTGTTATTTTGTGTAACTACCACCACAATTCAGAAACAAATATTCCGTCAATACAAAAATATCCCTTGTGTTATATTCACATCCCATCTCTACACCTTTCTAACCACTTCCTAACCTGTGGCAACCACTAATCTATTCCCCAGCTCTATAATTTTTCACTTTGAGAATGTTCTGTAAGTAGAATTACACACTATGTAATCTTTTGAGATTGGCTTTTTTTCACCTTGAGATCCATCTAAGTGTTACCTATATGAATAGTGATTCCCTTTAATTGTTGAGTAGCATTACATGATATGGATGTATCACTTTTTTTAACCATTCACCAGTTGAAGGATATCTGGGTTGTTTCCAGTTTTTGGCTACGAATAAAGCTGCTATAAATATTTATGTACAGTCTTTGTATGAGCATAATTTTTCCTTTCTCTGGGATAAATGCAGGTGCTAAGACCTACAGTACATGTTTAGTTTTTTAAGAAACTGCCATATTCTTTTTTCAGAGTGACTGTTATTTTACATTCCTACCAGTAATATGTGAGTGATTCAGTTCTTCCTCATCTTCACCAGCATTTGGTATAATCACTTTTTTTTTAAATTTTAGCCATTTTGATATGAGTGTAGTGATCTGTCATTGTAGTTTTAATTTGCATTTCCCTAATGAGTAATGGAATTGAACATCTTTTCATGTGCTTATTTGCCACCTGTATACCTGTCCTCTTTGATGATATGTTTGTTCATATCTTTTGCCCATTTTCTAAATGGCTTGTTTATTTGGAAAGTTCTTTTTTTTATTGTTTTATTGCTTAACGTATTACAAAGAGTATTACATATGTCTCCTTTTTTTTTTCCGCCCTTGACAATCCCCTGGCCTCCCCTGCCCCCCCAGTGTCTTTGGAAAGTTCTTAATAGATATTCTAGATAGAGTACTTTGTCAGATAAATGGTTTGCAAGTATTTCCCCCCAATTTGTTGGTTTATTCTTATCCTCTTAACAGGATCTTTTGCAGAGCAAAAGTTTTTAATTTTGATGAAGTACAGCTTATCAATTTTTTCTTTCATGGATCATGTTTTTGGTGTAAACTTTCACCTAGCCCTACATCACAAAGATTTTTTTCCCTGTGTTTTCTTCCAAAAGTTTTATAGTGAATATTTGATTATATAAAATATTTTTGTTAATTTTTTTTAGTTAGAATAATGGTATTGTGTGTGTTTTGAAGAGGCCTTTTAGAAATAATATATTAAAATAATTACAGATGATGTTTAAGATTTGCATCAAAATAATATAATACAGGAGGGGATTAAATGGGGGGAGGGGAAGAAGCAAGAGTGTCCATATTTCTCTAAAACCTAAGGTCAGTGCTAAAAGGAATCTTTTACACTCCTCATTGCATTAGACTTTACAAGGCCTTTCTAATTTTTAAAATGGTTGTATAATCAGGGTTTGTCATGGCTAAAATTGTGGTTCTGAACCTACTGGCTGTTATCTTTTTAACAGAAAAAAAAGATAAATTGTTGCATACCAAGGTGTTGAAGGCTTAATGTGTTAGCTAATCCTCAAGAATACTGCACTTGAATTTTAAAAGAATAGATGGTAGAGAAGAGTGTGATGCTTAACACATGTAGCTGGCCCAGGCAGAGTACTGTGGGGATTTAGAGCAGCTTGATCAATTAGCCACCCTGCCTGCTGGGTGGAGCTGATTATACTACTGACCAGCAATGCAGGTTACTTTGAAGGGTGTCTTCATGAGCATGAAGCCAAATAGCACAAAACCCAATAAATATTTGCTTTTAATGATTACAAATTAATAGTTTAATTAATTGACCATAGATGATAAAAATGTTGCATGTGAAGTTGGATGAGGTCTACTATAAACGTGCATTATTTTAAAAGTGATTTTCTCTTGAAGCTCATTTGATGTAGTCGTTATCGGTGGCGGAATTGTGGGGCTTGCCTCTGCCAGAGCACTCATCCTACGACATCCAACACTTTCCATTGGTGTTCTGGAAAAGGAGAAAGAATTAGGTAGGTATGGTTGATGTATGTTATCAGTGCTGCTCTTCAGGCTTATCCTGAACCCCTGCTTATTTTGTCAAATCTGCATCTGTTATGCTGAGTGTCGATGTTAGTAGGCTAGTTTGAGTTCTCCATAAAGCAGAGTCTGGGACTAGGACTTTGGTATAGGTCTGTGGTCGGCAAACTGCGGCTCGCGAGCACCATGCGGCTCTTTGGCCCCTTGAGTGTGGCTCTTCCTAAGCCTTAGGAGTACCCTAATTAAGTTAATAACAACGTACCTACCTATATAGTTTAAGTTTTAAAAATTTGGCTCTCAAAAGAAATTTCAATCGTTGTACTGTTGATATTTGGCTCTGTTGCCTAATGAGTTTGCCGACCACTGGTATAGGTGATTTACTTGAGAGGTTATCTAGGAGACAGGAGTGAGGGGGGGGGGATAGTAAACAGGGAAGGCGGGAGAGCCACATGAGGGTACCTTATTGAAGTTGTTGTTGTGAGTTTGACTCTACTGGGACCTCTGAGGAGCTACATAAACATTTCCCAGCATCAGCTCCTGTCCTTATTGGTTGAGGGTTGCCTCTAGGAATGTTGAGTTCTCTTTCCCCACATTAGACAAGGCCCTGGGGCAGAATGCAGAGAACCATAATGGTCCCTTGAAGTGGTTTGCTGGAAGTGAGAGGTGAGTTTGTGCACCAGAGTTGTAACTAAAATCAAAGGTGGGCTGGAGGGATGTGATACGGTCAACAAAGATGGCGGCTAGAGGAATTTACCAGTGCTCTGGCTGCAAGAATTTTAAATAATGTGGTCTGATAGCTTCAAATATGTTTGTTCCCCCACTTCTTAGGTTTTGTATGAGTCATTTATTTTCTCTTATCCTGTTTCTCTTGTTTGGTAGCTATTCACCAGACTGGACATAACAGTGGTGTCATACATAGTGGAATTTATTATAAACCGGAATCTCTAAAAGCTAAATTATGTGTACAGGGTGCATCCCTCATCTATGAGTACTGTAACCAAAAGGGAATTTCTTACAAGCAGTGTGGCAAGGTATGGTATTTTACTAGGACCTCGACTTATTTATAACTAACATTTTCTTACCGATGTTTAATGTTGAATTTTTTTAAAACCCTGGATTTTCTTTCTTTATATCAAGTAATTTGCAAAATCTAATATTAGAGAATAACTTTTAAAAAGATGGTGTAACTAACTCCATGTAATTAAAAAGATTTTTTGGTACGTTTTTAATGATTTTATAGAGAGAGGAAGGAAGAGGGAGAGAGAAACATTGATGTGAGAGAGGAACATTAATCGGTTGCCTTCCATATGAACCCTGACCGGGGATAGAACCTGAAACTTGGGTACAGGATGAGGCTCCAACCAACTGAGCCACACCAGCCAGGGCACTCCATGTAATTTTTAAAGTAACAGCTTTATTGACATAATTTACATACCATACAATTCACCCTTTAAAAGTATACAATTCAGTTTTTAGTGTAGTCACAGAAGGTGTAGCTATCACCATTATCTAATTTTAGACCATATTCATTATCCCAAAAAGAAACCATATGGATAGTCATTCCCCACTCCCTCTACTTCCTAGTTCTTCCCAGACCCTGGCAACCACTAATATATTTTCTGGATTTGACTATTCTGGACATTTCATGTAGATGAATTCATACAATATGTTGTCTTTTGTGACTGGCTTCTTTCACTTAGCATAATATTTTTCAGGTTCATTCATTTGTAGCATGAATCAATACTTCATTCTTTTTATATATTTCATTCTGTAGGCATACCAAATTTTGTTTATCCATTTTACAGCTGATGGACATTTGGATTGTTTCCACCTTTTGGCTATTATAAATAACACTGCTATGGAATTTATACAGGTTTTTGTATGGACCTGTTTTCATTTCCCTCGGACATGTACCTAGGAGTGGAATTGCTGGGTTATAGGTAACTCCATGTTTAATGTTTGAGAAGCTGCCAAACTGTTTTTCCAAAGTGCTGCACTGTTTTATATTCCCATCAACAATTAATGAGGATTCTAATATCTCCACATCCTCACCAACATCTATTATTATCTGTCTTTTTTATTTTAGCCATCCTCGATGTGAAGAGGTATATGTCATTGTGGTTTTGATTTGCATTTCCCTAATTATTAATGATATTGAGCATCTTTTCATATGCTTATTGGCTATTCATTTATCTTTGAAAAAATGTCTATTCAAATCTTTTGCCCAGCCCTGGCTGGTTTGGCTCAGTGGATAGAGCATCGGCCTTCGGACTAAAGGGTCTGTGGTTCGATTCCGGTCAAGGGCATATGCCCAGGTTGCGGGCTCAATCCCCAGTGGGGGATGTGCAGGAGGCAGCCAATCAGTGATTCTCTTTCATCATTGATGTTTCTATCTCTCTCTCTCGCTCCCTTCCTCTCTGAAATCAATTAAAAAAAATGTTAAAAAAAAACTTTTGCTCACTTTTCAAATTGGGTTATTTGTCTTCTCATTGTTGAGTTGTACGTGTCCTTTATATATTCTGGATACAGTCCCTTATTAGCCACAAGATATTTACTAAAATAATGGTAAAACATTAAAATATTTTTTATTTTTAATATAAAATAATAGTAATGGCAATAGTAATAGTAATTTAAAAAATAATACTAAAGTTTTTCTCCCATTCTGTAGATTTTTACTTTTTTGATAGTATCCATTGAAGCACAGAAGTTTTTAATTTTTATGAAGTCCAGTTTATCTCTTTTTCTTTTGTTGCTTGTGTTTTTAGTGTCATACTTAAGAAATCATTGCCTAATCTTAGATCATAAAAAATTACTCCTATTTTTTTGTGTGTGTTTTTAAAAAATATGTTTTTATTGATTTTAGAGGGAGAAGAAGGGAGATGGACAGAGAGATAAAACATCTATGAGATAGAAACATCGATTGGCTGCCACCCGCATGCCCCTGCTGAGGATCGAGCCCGCAACCTGGGCATTGCCTTGACTGGGAATCGAACTGGTGACTTGGTTCCTGAGTTGACACTCAACCTCTGAGCCACATTGGCTGGACATTACTCCCATGTTTTCTTTGAAGAGTTTTGTTACAACCTTAGCTCTGACATTTAGGTCTAACATCACTTTCCTTTTCCCCCAGATGAATTGGTTTCATTCCAGGTGATATAGAATTTGGGGTAGAACAAAGACTGCAGAGTATACTTTGGCAGGATTTTAGGCTGGGTTTGCTTCCCAGCTGAGATAGAAATGGCTGAGAATGAAAGAGAAGAGGAACCACAGTATGATTTTTTTTTTTACAAAAGTTTATTATTAAATGTACAACAGGCTTCAAGACAACATTTCATTCTAGCTATAAGTGATAACACATGTTATGGCAGAGAATCCAGATGTTTAAACAGAAATGGAATTAAGGATCACCATTGCCCCAGGTACAAGGAACAGCTTATTTTTTGCCAGAATTCTTAATTACAAATGTGGAATCTCCCCGTGTGTGGCATTTCTTTCCCACAGCCTTAACTTTTAGCTCCTTGAGTTTCTTTTGCCCCTCTTTCTGTTTCTACTTGAATGCCTTACCACTTCACCCATTTTCTTCGTCTGCTTCTTGGGCTGCTTTAGGGACTTCTTCACACCTTCACAGCCAGCCTACTGCCCTTTCCACACAGACCCTGCCACTAGAAGTAGTTTCCTGCCTCACTCTCTGCACCTGTACCTCCAGCATATGATAACTTAAAATATATAAAGGACCTGAGATAGATAGATAGATAGATAGATAGATAGATTTTTTAAAGAGAGAGGAAGGGGGAAAGAGAAACATTAATGTGATAGCAGAACATCTGTTGGTTGCCTTCTGAACACACCCCCTGCTGGGGATCATGCCCACTACACAGGCATGTGCCCTGACCAGGAATCATCATTCAGTTAGGTACACTGAATGATGCCTAACCAACTGAACCATACCAGCCAGGGCCACTTTTTAATTAATTTTGGTATACGGTGTGAGGAAGGGGTCCAGCTTTATTTTCTTGTATGTGTCAATCCAGTTGTTTACCACCATTTGTTGAAAAGACTATTCTTTCTACATTGCTTTTTGTCTTTATCACAACTCAATTGTGCATAAATGTCAGAGGGTATGTTTAGGATTCTCAATTTTATTGCATTGATATATGTCTATCCTTATATCCTATCACACTATTTTGATTACTGTAACTCTTTGTTTTGAAATCAAGGAGTGTGAGTCCTCCAACTTTGTTCTTCTTTTTCAAGATTGTTTTGGCTAACCGTTGTGGCTCAGTTGGTTGAGCATCCATCCTATGCACAAGGAGTTCACTGGTTCGTTTCCTGGTCAGGGCACTGCCCTGGGTTGCCGGCTTGATCCCCAATATGGGGCATGCAGGAGGCAGCCGATCGATGTTCTCTCTCATCAATGTTTCTATCTCTCTCTTCCTCACTGAATTCAATTTTAAAAATAAAAAAGCAACACATTTTTAAAAAATATATTGTTTTGGCTATTCTGGGTGCCTTGCATTTTCATATGAATTTCAGAGTCAGTTTGTCAGTTGCTCTAAAAAAGCAGCTGGGATTTTGATAGAGATTATATTGAACCTATAGATCAATTTGGAGAGCATTGCCATCTTAACAATATTAAATCTTATGAACATGGGATGTCTTTTCATTACTAGATCTTTAATTTCTTTCAACAGTGTTATGTATTTTTCATTGTGCAGGTCTTGCATTTCTTTTGTTAAATTTATTCCTTGGTGTTAGTCTAATAGGTGTTTCTGTGTGTTTGTTCTTTTGGTATGTGGATTCCTTAGAATTTTCTATATGTAGGGTCATTCCATCTACAAATAAAATAGTTTAACTTCTTTTTCAATTTGGTTACTTTTTATATTTTTTCTTGCCTGATTTCCCTATGTAAAATCTCAAATGCAATGTTGAAAAGTGAAAGCAATGAAAGTGGACAACCTTGTGATTTTCCTGATCTTAAGGAGAAAGCATTCAACTTTTCACTATTAAGTATGATGCTAGTTGTGGTTTTTTTGTAGGAGCCCTTTATCAGATTGAGGAAGTTCCTTTCTATTTCTAATTTGTTGAGAGTTGTGTTGTTGTTGTTTTTTTAATCATAAAAGGGTGTTAGATTTTCTCAAATGCTTTTTTCTGCTTCAATAGTTTTTGTCTTTTATTCTATTAATATATTACATTAATTGACTTTTGGATGTTAAATTGATCTTTTATTCCTTCAGTAAATTTTACTTGGTCATGGTATATAATCCTTTTTGTATGTTGCTGCATCAGTTTACTAGTCAGAACTGTTACATCAATATTCACAAGAGATATTGGTCTGCAGTTTTTTGTGTTTTTTGTTTGTTTGTTTGTTTTGTTTTTAATCTTTGTCTGGTTTGGGCATCTGGCTAATACTGGCCTCACTGAATTAGTTAGGAAGTGTTCCCTTCTCTTTTGTGTTTTGGAAGAGTTTATGAAGAATTGGTACTAATTCTTTAAAACATTTGATAGCACTCATGAGTATAGTCCCTGGGCCTGATCTTTGTGGGAAGTTTTAAAGTTAATAATTCAGTCTTTTTGCATGTTATAGGTCTATTCAGATTTTCTTCTTGAGTCAGTTTCAGAAGTTTGTGTCTTCCTATGAATTTGTCCATTTCATGTAGATTACCTAATTTGTTGGCATAAGTTATTCACAATATTCCCTTTAAGTCTTTTTCATGTAAGTTTTAAGAATAAAAGTTCAGCCCTAACCGGTTTGGCTCAGTGGATAGAGCGTCGGCCTGTGGACTGAAGGGTCCCAGGTTCGATTCCAGTCAAGGGCATGTACCTTGGTTGTGGGCACATCCCCAGTAGAGGGTGTGCAGGAGGCAGCTGATCGATATTTCTCTCTCATCGATGTTTCTGACTCTCTATCCCTCTCCCTTCCTCTCTGTAAAAAATCAATAAAAAATATATTTTTTAAAAAGAATAAAAGTTCATTGTTACCATTGAAGATGCTATCAAGATTTTTTAAAATTATATGGGGAAATGGTCTTGACATGGTATGAAGTGAAAAAATATGTAAAACTGTATTTATAGTCTTTTTGGTTGAGTTATAAGAGTTCTTTATATAATCTGGATACTAGTCCCATATCACCTATATGATTTGCAAATATTTTCTCCCATTCAGTGTGTTGTCTTTTTATTTTCTTTAGTGTCCTTTGATTCCACTCTTGTTCTTAAGGTTAGTTATTTGTTGGTTTAAATAACCTTTACACCTTGATTAAGAGTATTATCTCTATTAAGTGTTGACTCCTTGCTATGAAATAGTAATTTGTAAATTCTCATTTACCTGGGAATATACATCTGTGCCTTCCTTTGCTGGGAGCTGTTAAGGAAGAAACTACTATATATATATATATATTCTTTTTAAAAATATATATATTTTATTGATTTTTTTTTTACAGAGGGGAAGGGAGAGTTAGAAACATCGATGAGAGAGAAACATCGATCAGCTGCCTCCTGCACACCCCCTACTGGGGATGTGCCCCCAACCAAGGTACATGCCCTTGACGGGAATCGAACCTGGGTCTCCTCAGTCCGCAGGCCGACGCTCTATCCACTGAGCCAAACCGGTTAGGGCAAGAAAATACTTTAATTTTTAATTTTTAAAAAATATATTTTATTGATTTTTCACAAAGAGGAAGGGAGAAGGGTAGAGAGTTAGAAACATCGATCAGCTGCCTCCTGCACACCTCCTACTGGGGATGTGCCCGCAACCAAGGTACATGCCCTTGGCCGGAATCGGACCTGTGACCTTTCAGTCCGCAGGCTGAGGCTCTATCCACTGAGACAAACCGGTTAGGGCAAGAAACTAATTTAAAAAGATACTTTGCCAGATAAAAGTAGAAAAAGAGTCTTGAGTAAAGTAGATAAATTTACCTATTTTTTTCTTTGCAACAGAATGCATTAGTAAATACTTTGTAATGTACATTATTCCAGGAAATAAAATGGATAGTTTTCTGTTTATGATATCCCATTATACTGAATACCAAATGTTTTCTTGATGTACTGGTATTTTACATTCTCTTATAGAAAAAAAAAGAAGGCCATTCTGTTTTGTTGTTGCTGATTTTTTTTTTTTAATGTAAAGATTAAGTAATCGAGTGCTTCTCTCCCTTCTGGGACTGAGGGAGTGAATGTGATATCAGTTGATTATGGCTAAGATGTATGTAGTGGCTGATAGCAGAAGTAGAAATTGAGATTACATCTCAACTTTGAGGAAAATTTTTCATGTATTTTTCTTTTTTTAATATATTTTTATTGATTTCAGAGAGGGAAGAAGAGGGAGAGAGAGATAGAAACATCAATGGTGAGAAAGAATCATTGATCAGTTGCCTCCTGCATGCTCCCCACTGGGGATTGAGCCTGCAACTCGGGCATCTGCCCTGACCAGGAATCGAACTGTGACCTCCTGATTTATAGGTTGACACTCAACCACTATATAAGCTGGGCTTATGCAGTTTTCTTAAGGGAACATTTTTCAGTGGAGGAGGAAAACGAAGTCATGAAGGAAGGTTGAAGTAGATACATGAAGAAAAAGTAATTTTAAAAAATCGATCCAATTTGTCATGTAACAATTTATGATTTTTCTAGTCACTTTATCTTTCATAGCTGATGGTTTGTTTAACTCTATTCATATTATCATTTGTTGAAGCTTATAGTAGCTGTCGAACAAGAAGAAATTCCCAGACTTCAGGCCCTTTATGAGAGAGGCCTGCAGAATGGTGTCCAGGGCCTGAGGCTGATCCAGCAGGAGGATATAAAAAAGAAGGAGCCATATTGTAGGGTAAGTGATTCACAACTCCACACGAATGCTCACAGGGACATTTTCATTTAGCGCTCGGTCTTGTGAACATAGAGGCTGAAAGTGAATTTATAGGAGGAAGGAATTATATAGAAACATAATCCTGTCACAAAAGCAGTGGGGTGACAAACACAAGAGGGCATTGCCACAAACTCTGGACACTTGATTTCTTCTTTCCCTAAGTCATTATAAGAAATATCCAAACCCATAGAGCAAGCGTGTCAAACTCGCAGCTGGCAGGTCTCATGCCTCATTTAAATAAGCGGGCCGCGAGTTTGACATGCTTGCTGTAGAGAATTTTCCTAAGAGTTTATTTGAGCCAAACTGATGACATATGCCAGGGAGCAAGATCTCAGATGCTCTGGAGAATAAGTTTTACAGCTTCTTTTATGCATTTGAAATTAAGGAGGGAAGTTTACAGGAAGGTGAGAGAAAGCAAGGCAGGGATTAGATTAGGATAGTTAGCAAGATTATGTGCTCTCTTGGGGGTGGTTACAGCTTATTTCTATGGTGTATTAACCTAAATGCACAGACACAATGGACTAGGCTTGCTTAAGGCAAATATAAACCTCTTAAAATATATATATATTATGTTTTTTAAAAAAATATATTTTATTGGTTTTTTACAGAGAGGAAGGGAGAGGGATAGAGAGTCAGAAACATCGATGAGAGAGAAACATCGATCAGCTGCCTCCTGCACACCCCCCTCTGGAGATGTGCCCGCAACCAAGGCACATGCCCCTGACTGGAATCGAACCCAGGACCCTTCAGTCCTCAGGCCAACGCTCTAAACACTGAGCCAAACCGGTCAGGGCTATATTGTTAATTGATTTGAGAAAGAGAGGAAGGGAGAGGGAGAGAGAGAGAAACATCGATCAGTTGCCTCCTGTACGCACCCTGACCTGGGATCGCACCCACAACCTGGGTATGTGCCCTGACCAAGAATTGAACCAGCGACCTTTTGGTGCATGGGACAATGCTCAGACCAACTGAGCCACACCAGCCAGGTCGCAAAGATAAACTTTTTACTAAAGAGGTTGTATGCCTGGGACATGACTACCCACCATGACCGGTCAAGTTAGGGATTTATGATCAGATCACCCTGTGAGGTTACTTTCCATAGAACCCCTCTTTTCACTCACAGTAATGAAAAAATACCAGGTCTGAAGGACATAAGCAAATGCAAGAGGAGGCTTGAGACCATATGACATGTTTGGAAAGCACGGTGAGGTATGGTTGGATCACAGGGTGTATAGGAAAATATAAAAGGGCCTGATATTCATGCTGATAACTTTGTAGTTTATCTAGTAGGCACAGAAGCCACTGAAAATTTTTGAGGAGAGTGGCTTTGATATCCAGTCTGTATTTTAGGAAGATAAGGATGGCATGAGTGTGAAGAGTGGGTTGTAGAGTATCTTGCTTAAAACATGCTATAGGGAAAAATCTTCCTTTTATTCATGAGAGAGACATGAAAAATAATACTCTGCATAACAACTTTCTTTGATAGCCTTTCAGACACTATCAGTTCAACCCCTAGTTCCACTGGCTGTTACAGTGAATGGCTGTAACTTCTGTTCCTTCTCCCCTACCTTTTTATTGACAATATGCAATAGCTAGACTCCAGCCCGCTGGTGTAGTTCAGTGGTTGAGGATGTCATGGTTTGGTTCCTGGTCAGAGCACATGCCCCGGTTGCAGACTCTATCCCCAGTAGGTGGCGTACTGGAGGCAGCCAAGCAATGATTCTCGCTCATCATTGATGTTTCTATCTTTCTTTCCTTCTCCCTTCCTCTCTGTAAAATCAATAAAAGCACTAAAAAGAAAAATAGCTGGACTCCAGGTACCTGTGTTAAAGAGTCTGGCTTCTAACTCATTGCCAGACCATGCTTATCAGAAGCTTTTAGTTTAGTCTGAGAGTTTAGGTGAACCCCCACTGAAAGATGACTAGTGTAATTTATAAAAGAGGTATGCCCTGCTTTTCTCTGAGGTCTCTGCAGAAGTGATCTACTTTATATAATGCCACATTGTAATTTTCAATGCCTACATAGGGTGGCAATATACTAGTATAGTAGAAAATATAGTCTGGTTATTTCATAAAGGTGTCTTGAGTAAATTCCTCCTTTCTTTCCCAACCTCACCACTGCTACCAGCAATGATGGGCGAAATTTGCATAGTACAAGGTTACTTCTGTTTCTTCTAGGACCTCCAAAAGGAAAAGTATATTAGGGCAGCTCTAAAGGGCTTCTTAGAGCAGATTCCTTTCAGCAAAAGATTTAAGTACTCCCAGGGAAGCATTTTGGAAAATTTTAAGCTGGCTCTGCGAACTTTGACTTTGGAGGATAGCTCTTGACAGCTCTCTTCTGGGCAGATCCTGACTGCTGCTTCTGACCTTAGCTGTGCAGATCCATCCATTGGTCAACCACATGTTCATCTGTTCCTCCTGACTTCTAACTCCCAGTGTTCCCTGTTTTGCTTGCCTGGTTCTTTTCTAGCCATCTGACCTGCTGTGGCCTAAGATTTCAAGTTCTGGCCTGCTAACCTGGACAGTGCATGCCCAGCTCCTGGCAGACTACTAGCCTGTCCAACCCCCATCCTGGGCCAGGGCATTGGATTGCTTGGCGGCAGTGACTCGCTCCACCTTCCCCCAACATACATGTATAGGTAGGGCCCACCAGCATCTCATGAGGAGGGGCAAGGCCAAGGCCAAAACTAGAAAGGGAGAGAAAAGAAAGGAGATCTTTTAGAGAAGGTCTAGAAAGGGAAAATATCTGGTATGTTTAAAGATAGCAACCTTCAAAAGTTCATTCATTTAGTAAATGTTTGAGTGCCTTCTGTGTGTCAGGCATTATACTAGGTAATAGGAATATATGAAGATACTTGGAATTCCAAAAATCTATTGATATGGAGCATTTTTACAGCACACTTTTATCCCACTGTTATATTTGTCACAGAGTTTTATGCTAGGTAAGAAAGTTTTTGTGACTAAACTATTGGTATTATCCTAATTTAGATTTTAAGATTATTGTACCCAAAATACTATTTATAGGTTGAAATTGAATTATAGCTATTGACCTATGAATTTAGGGATTGTCAAGCCATATAAAGTCTAATATAAAATCTTAGTGTATCTACTCTATCAAAACAAAAGGACTGATTTCCTGTACTTGGGCAAATGCTCTCATATTCTGGAAGCAGACCATCAGGAAAATGGTGAGGTTTTTCAAATGTTGCTTTTAGTTTGTGAAGATAGACTGTTGGGTGTTTTGTGAGCCTTTAACCTTAGTGTGATCTGGGCACATGGCAATACTGGTCAGGGGTGGGTAGCAAAGTCAAAAGCTTTGAAGGATAAGCAGGTAAATGCATTGGGATAGGGGTGGGGCACTGAATACAGTAATACAGTGACATTCTGTGCTGACCAAACAAGAAGATAGCAGCATTTACCAGTCATACTCAGCTTCTGGGTCTTAGTCATCCTGGAACCAGGCAATCTTAGAGAAGATTGATAGAGAAAACTAATCTCATACACATTAAGGCAAGATAAAATGGTACTATCATTAAGGATTCCTCAAAGTGTAGTCTGTACTTAGTGTGTGAAATTCTACTTTTATCCTTTTCTTCAAATTAGAAAAGGATACATTTATTCCAAAAAATTAAGTAATGCTTATAAATCATTCATCTTTAGAGTTTGAACATATCTTGGCAAAACACACACACACATACACACGCACGCACGCACACACACACACACACAAACAAACACACACACCAGAACAACCCAGGCTGTTAATTTCTCATATACCTGAAGAGAAAGTTTGAATTAACCATATGTGATCTTCATTCAGTATTTGCAGTCTTGAAAATAGAGTCTGCAGCAAATCAAATCAATGCTCTGCAAACATATGAACAATTCTGAGTTTTCACTGAGTGTGTATGACATATGATCCACTACTAGGAAAATCTCAGTGGAGTTTATTTAAAACTTTAATTGGAGACCATTATGGTAAGTGAAACAAGTACCATATGATTTCGCTCATATGTGGAATTTAATGAACAAACTGAACTGACTACCAGGCAAAATAGAGACAGACTCAGAGAGAGCAAGCAGCCAGCTCTGGTGTGTGTTTGGGGGCAGGTGTGGGGGAGGGGTTGAGAAAAAAAGGAAAAAAAAAGAGAACTCATAGACATGGACAACAGTGGGAAGGGGAGGTGGAGAGGGGAGGTGGGAGAGGGGATAAATGGTGGTGAGAAAAATTAAATTAAAAAAATAATTGTTTAGTGATACAGAATTCAGCTCAATCAGATATGAATCTGGATGAGGGATGAATAAAACTGAAAAACTCATTGTAATAGCTGGAAGAGCCTAGCAAAATGAACTCCTTTAAGGAGGAGAATTATTTTCTGATTATAGAAATTTTCTTATTTAGTTAGTATTACTTCTTATATCTGTTTGCATATATTGAATCTATATATATAAAAGCCTAAGCGACCATTACAACAGAATGACCAGAATGACTGGCCGACCAATTGCTATGATGTGCACTGACCACCAGGGGGCAGATGCTCAGTGCAGGAGCTTCCCTCTGGTGGTCACTGCGCTCCCACAGGGGTAGTGCCACTCAGCAGAAGCTAGGCTCATGGCTGGCGAGCACAGCTACGGACGCGGAAGCCTCTTCCAACTCCGTGGCAGCACTAATGAGTGGCAGCAGCAGGTGCAGCAGGCTGGGATGAGTGCGAGCGGTGTGGTGCCTTGCCCCCGCTTCTGGCTCCTCCTGGCCACCTGCCATTTGGCACACTGCTACATCCCTTGGGGGATGTCCGACTGACCTGTGGGGATGGGGCCTAAACCGGCAGTCAGACATCCCCCAAGGGGTCCCAGATTGCAAGAAGGCTCAGGCTGGACTGAGGGACAACCCCTGCCCTCAGTACATGAATTTTGTGCACCGGGCATCTAGTATATACCTACAGGGTGAGGCAAAAGTAGTTTTACAGCTGTGAGAACATGAAACACAGGATTCATTCTTATATATATTTTTAATTATTGTATCATTTTCCATATGAGCAACTGTAAACCTACTTTTCGCCCCACCCTGTATACTCAATTTCAAATTCAGGAACTATGGAGCAAGCTTTTATTTTATTTTTCTTTAAAATTATCAGGGTTTTTTTCCCTCAAGAAAGCATAATGTGTGTTACCCATCAAAATAACCAGTAAAAATTTTCAGCACAAAATAAAATTTATTCAGCAAACTGTTCTCGGTGATTTTTAATTGTAGTGTCTTGACTTTTTCATAATTCTATCCCAGGGTCTAATGGCTATTGATTGCCCATATACTGGCATTGTGGACTATCGTCGGGTGGCTTTGTCATTTGCCCAGGATTTTCAAGATGCAGGTGGCTCTGTCTTGACCAATTTTGAAGTAAAAGATATTGAAATGGCTAGAGAAAGTCCTTCAAGAAGTGAAGATGGTAAGCTATCCTTGTCTTTTCTTTTGAATACTTGTATTGACTTCTAAACAAATTTTGGACTGCTTTTGGCTGGGGTAGTGCTGGAGGAGGTCCACCAGGAGCTGGGCTAGTGTAGGGTACAGAGCTGGAGGCAGGTGCAGAAGGTAAGATTGGACGTGGGCAAACTGGGACTTCCAGCGAGTCTCGTGTTAATAGAACTAGGCACTGATCGGACACTTATGACTGATGTTAAAACCTGAGTTGCCAAGGCTGTTTATATAAAACTAGAGGCCGGATGCACAAATTCGTGCACAGGTGGGGTCCCTCGGCCTGGCAGGCGATTGGGGCTGGTCGGGGCTGGGGTTGGGGGGGTAGGGGCTATGCGAGGCAGGGTGGCCAGCCGGAGCGGGGGGAGGTGAGGGACACGAGAGGTTGGCCAGCACAGGAGGTTGGCTGTGGGAGCACACTGACACCAGGGGGCAGAGGCTCAGAGCAGGCACTGTGTGTGTGTGTGTGTGTGTGTGTGTGTGTGTCCGTCCCCACTGGGGGTCTGCGCCCAGCCACATTGGAGGCTCAGAGCAGGCACTGTGTGTGTGTGTGTGTGTGTGTGTCTGCCTGCTGGGGGCCTGCCCCCAGCCACACCATGGAGGCTTGGAGCAGGAGCCCCTCTGTGTTGATCTCTCAGGCTCCTGGCCTCCACTGCATGTTGTACTCTCCCTTGAGTTATGGCCAGGATGGGGGTGCTGCTTGCAAGCCGGGCTTTCCTGCTCCAGGATCGCCATGGCGACGGGGGAGCATGCCCAGCTGGGGGCTGCCCACAGGCCGGGCTTTCCCGCTTCCAGGTCTCCATGGAAACGGGGGACAGGCCCAGCTGGGGGCTGTCCGCAGGCCGGGCTTTCCTGCTCTCGGATCAGGTGCAGCTTGGGGCTGCCTGCAGGCCGCACTTTTCTACTTACCGATGGCCGGCTCACCACAGCGACCCAGGGCCCAGCAGCACTTTCCTGCTCTCCAATAGTCATAGGGTCCTGGCTGGGGGCGGGGCTTAGCAGTGCGGGGCCTAGGCGGCACGGGGGTCCCGGCTGGAGGCTCAGGTGGCACATAGGGGTCCTGGCTGGGGGCAGGGCTTATGCCCCGCTGCCCAGGGCTGCACATGGGGCCCGGATGGCAGCTCGCGCTGTCCCACCCTGCCTGTAGTATAGGATAGAGGCCTGGTGCACGGGTGGGGGCCGGCTGGTTTGCCCTGAAGGGTGTCCCGGATCAGGGTGGGGGTCCCGCTTGGGTGCCTGGCCAGCCTGGATGACGGGCTGATGGCTGTTTTTAGGCTACCCGCACCCCCTTTAGGGTGGGGGTCCCCACTGGGGTGCCTGGCCAGCCTAGATGAGGGGATGATGGCTGTTTGCAGCTGGTCACACCCCCTTCAGGGTGGGGGTCCCCACTGGGGTGCCTGGCCAGTCTGGATGAGGGGCTGAGGGCCGTTTTCAGGCTGGCGGGTGACTGAAGCTCCCAGCCTCTCCTTTTTTTCTTTTTTTTATTCTGGGATTTATTCACTGGAGCTGAGAGCCGGCTTTAGCTCTGAGGCTGGCTCCAGTATGAGGCCTCGGCTGCTGAAAGCAGATATCTGGGCTTTGTTTAGCTTCTATAATTGAAACTCTGTTGCTATCACTGCTGCTCTAAGCTCTGAGCCCACTGCCGCTGAAAGCAGGTTTCTGGAGCTTGTTTAGCTTCTATAATTGCAACATTGTTGCATCCGGAGCTCAGAGCTGGGTGGCGGCAGGCGGGGAACCTTGGCTTCCTCCATCACTGGAGCAAGCAAGCCTCCTGTTCGCTTCAGCTGCCTGGCTGCCGGTCGCCATCTTGGTTGGCAGTTAATTTGCATATCCTGCTGATTAGCCAATGGGGAGCGTTCGGGGGTATGGTCAATTTGCATGTTTCCCTTTAATAGATAGGACTAGAGGCCTGATGCACGAAATCATGCAAGGGCCTCAGCCCTTGTGCCTGCGGCAGCTTGCCTCGGCCCCAGTCCCAGCTTCGTCCGGAAGGACGTCCAGAAGGTCATTCGGCTGTCTGGTCTAATTAGCATATTATGCTTTTATTATTGTAGATTAGCCCCCAAATTCTTCCTTAGCCTGTAGGTTAGAGTCAGAATCCCTGGGGATGTTTGTTAAAACTGCAGACTTTAGCATTACCCAGTCTTACTGAAGCAGATTGTCTGTGGATAGGACATGACTTAGCCATTCTGAACGACCCCGTTTGGGGATTTTTTTTTTAAACTAAATGAATCGGTTTGTAAATTTTGAATTTGCTTTGGGGAAATTTGAGGGAAAATGTAGTGTGCTGGGTTTATTCTTCCTTGACAGGTTTTTCTTTTTGGAGATTTGGGCCATATGAATCATCCTCCTAGTGTCCTACTAAATAATAAGATCATGAGCAAAATTGTTAAATAATTAAGATTGTTATAGGTAGGTAGCATAATCAATCAAATTTATTCATGGTAAAAGTAGATCATATTCTTTAACTGTTGCACTTATGTGTTATAAGACTTCGAGATCCCTTGTATCTGATTGGAAACTAATTTTATAAATACTTTATTATTGGAAGATTTTGTGTTTTAATAACTTTTGCTTCTTTTCACAACATAGAATCTACAGAGATCCAGTAACTAACATTTGAACAACAAGTGTCATAACATTAGTCCTGTGGGAAAATACATACTGATTTATGATGATCTATTTTATAGCATGGTGTTTAGATTTGTAGTTCAGAGAAAAAAGCTGGGACTGCTTATGCTAGAGCTGAAGTGGTGGGAGGTTGATAAGCATAGATTAAGTGAATTCATATAAAATAATCTAAAAAATATGCCAGAGTTTTATATATTGTCAAATATGAACTAGTTTAATCTTATTACTTGGTAAAAGCTTCAGAATGAAATGTGGAAAGTAATCATGGTTGTGACAAGAAACCCATTTAAGTTTGTTACTAGTATATTTCAAATACTATAGGCCTTCTTTTACTAAAAATAAATCTTTCACCAATTCCTTTTTTTTTTTTCAGGGATGAAATATCCAATTGTTATAAGGAATACAAAGGTAAAGATTCTTAAGCAAAACTACTTCCATCTATTTTATCTACTTTCATCCCCTCTCCTTTCTTTTTTAAAAATTTTATTTTATTGATTTTAGAGAGAGAAAGATATTGATCGGTTGCCTCCCACACACACCGGGCCCAGGGATTGAACCCACAACCCAGGTATGTGATCTGACTGGAAATTGAACCTGCTACCTTCTGGTGTATGAGATGATGCTCAAACAACTGAGCTACACTGTGCAGGACTCTCTCCTTTCTTAAAAAGTTGAATTAACCACAGTGCTGTATTTTATGTCAGTGAATGAAATTTGTCTAATGTAAAGTTATTGTGAGAGAGATTCTTTGAGAGCTAAAATATAACAGTTTTCATTCTAAGAAGGGTTTCAACTTGGAAATGCATTCATATAGTGACAGTGACAGCAAAAAAATATGATTATAAGTACTTGGAGTATTTAATTTTAAGGCAAAACTGATAGATATTTTATTGTTCTACCTGCTTATCTATATTAACTTATCAACTCTCTACTAATGAGAAGACTTGGGGGAGGGTGTGGATTGTACAGAGGGTGATAGACTGTCTTCCTTCATCTTCCCATAATCTAAAACAAGAGCTATTTGATAGATAGACGTATTGCATTCGCTGTGTGTTCTTGAATGGTCAGAGTTCAGTCAGGAAAGGAGAGTCCGTAATGAGTGTAGTCGGATTTATGGTAGGAATTAGGTCTGACACATTGTGAAACCACCTGGGAAGTCAAGGTTCAGAAGGAGAGTTGGTATATTAGAGGCGTATCCAGCCAGTCTGAGAAGCCAAAGTGTATCCACCTGCTGAAGTGGAACCGCAAATGAGAAGCTCATGAGGAGATCTGGGGCAGCTCTTGTCTACAGCCAGGGCTTGGGTAGGACAGCGGTTGGTCAGTAGGATCAGTATGTGGGAAGCAGAGCTGGGTGTGGAGCTATAATTCACTTGGCAGTGAGTGTTTATCAGCACCGTGGCCTAGAGTGACCTTCAGAGAATAGTGGCTGCTACTTTACCTCTACCTGTCAAATCACATTCAATTCCTGTTTTGGTCAACTTCAAGATGGAACGATATAGGGAGGGGATTCTGTCAAGCATAGTTCCCAGTTTAACCAAATTGACACAGTATAACCTCCCACAGTCCATCCCTTTTCAGTTTGCCATCCAATCACACCCCTTATAACCACATTTACTTTCCAAATAAAGACAGTAACAAAATCATGCTTCCACCTACAAGGCTGAACTATCTTTTATACAACTGAAGGCATGCTTACTACCATAACAGAATACCACAGGCTTAAACAACAGAAATTTATTTTGTCACAGTTCTGGAGGCTCAAAGTCTAAGATCAGGGTGCCATCAGGGTTGGTTTCTAGTGAGAGCTTTCTCGGCTTGTAGATGGCTGCCTTCTCACTGTGACCTTACATGATCTTTTCTCTGTGCATGCTCATATAGTGACAGTGCCACTATAGTGACAGAAAGAAGGAGGGGGGAGAGAGAGAGAGAGAGAGAGAGAGAGAGAGGGGGAGAGAGAGAGAGAGAAGAGAGAGAGAGAGAGAGAGAGAGAGAATATGAGAATGTGAGCACACACAATTTTTGGTGTCTTTCTCTTATAAGAACACCAGTCCTATCAGATTAGGGCAGTGATGGTGAACCTATGACACACGTGTCAGAGGTGACAGGCGAACTAATTTTTTTGGTTGATTTTTCTTTGTTAAATGGCATTTAAATATATAAAATAAATATCAAAAATATAAATCTTGCCGTAACCGGTTTGGCTCAGTGGATGGAGCGTCGGCCTGCGGACTGAGAGGTCCCAGGTTCCATTCCGGTCAAGGGCATGTACCTTGGTTGCGGGCACATCCCCAGTGGGGGGTGTGCAGGAGGCAGCTGGTCGATGTTTCTCTCTCATCGATGTTTCTGACTCTCTATCCCTCTCCCTTCCTCTCTGTAAAAAATCAATAAAATATATTAAAAAATATATATATAAATCTTTGTTTTACTATGGTTGTAAATATCAAAAAATTTCTATATGTGACACAGCACCAGTTAAGTTAGGGTTTTTCAAAATGCTGACACGCTGAGCTCAAAAGATTCGCCATTACTGGATTAGGGCTTCACTCCTGTGACTTCATTTAACCTTAATTATCTCCCTAAAGGCTCTATCTCCAAGCATAGTCAAATGGGGAGTTGAGGCTTCAACATATGAATTTTGGGGGAAAGGGGAACAAAATTCATTTTATAACAATAAGGAAGAAGAAAGAATTGGTTAATTATAGACATATCTTTATTTCACAGTAAGGAAGAAATTACTACATTTCTCAGAACTATATTCCATTTATGTCACCAATCATGTGGTCATATTTATAATTTCCTTCTTCCACTATCTAGTCCATACTCCCTTTTCCCTTGGCAAGCCTCTCAGCTGGTCATGGTTCCTAGTTTGGCAGGAAAACTCAAACTTTTATTCCTGAAGTGTCTCTGCCATTAGCAGCCCTGCCTGTTTTATGTTGTAGTGGTTTCCATCAACTTTTATAGCAATGTGTGGGGATACCAGGAGATAGGCCAGGATATCTATAGCCCAAACATACTCCTCTTTATCATTCCCAAGCTCTCTGTGTGGTAGCAACTCTCTTTCTCCTTGAAAGTCAGGATCAGTTACCCCATTCAGTCCTAGACAGTGTGATTCCTGGTCAGGGCACTTGCCTGGGTTGTGAGCTCGATCCCCAGTAGGGGGCATTCAGGAGGCAAGCCAAAAAATGATTCTCTCTCGTCATTGATGTTTCTATCTCTCCCTCTCCCTTCCTCTCAGAAATCAATAAAAATATATATATTTTTAAAATTATCCTATTCAGTACAGTAATCTTCATTGCCTTTTGATTCACTGTCACGAGGAATTCAAAATGGCCAAGTGTGACAGTATTAACTTCTAGTGTAATGGAACCATTGCTTATTCTCTAATGGAAGCACTTCTCCCTTGGTACCTACAACTTCTAAACCATTAGAGCCCAAAGTTGTGGGGCAAGGAAGCTGAAATTTGGATTAGAAGCAGAAACTGTGCTTTCTACCTCTTGATTTTCTGAGCTGTGATTCCTGACTATGGGAGAAACAATACCATATATTAGTCACTGATTTAGAGCATATAGTACATTCTGGAAGACCTTGCCCCAGCCCTGCAGGGTGTTGCTAGCCAGCTAGTGCTGTTATTGAATCTTCAAAAGTCCTTTCCACGCTGTCACCCAGCGGCTTCAGGATGGGGGGAAATGATAACATCAGTGAATTCCACAAGCATGAGCTTATCATTACACTTCATTTACTGTAAAATAAGCTCACTGATCAGAAGTCATGCTTCTGGGTAAAATACCATTAAATTGATTAAGTTCACAGATGGTGGTTTCTGCAGAAGCGTTGTGGGTAGGGAAGGCAAATCTATATCCACAGCAATTGTCTATTCCAGTGAGGACTAAGTGCTGCCCCCCTCCCCTTTATTTAAATTGGGAGACTGAGCACTCTCCCAACAGCACATTGAGTGGCTATAGACACATCAGCCTTAGTTAGTCCATGTTACTGATCCCACACATCACCTCCATCCTTACTGCCATAATCATTTAGTTTGTGAAGTCATTGGCTAAGGACAGAGGTGGCTGGGAAAGAGGCTAACTAATGTTCACAGAGTAGGTCATCTTGTCTCCTGATTATTAAAATCTTCCTCTGCCCCAGTTACTCTTCAGTGAGCTTACTCTTCAGTATGGAACTTAAATACCTTTATCCTCCGAGCCTTTTCGGAGAGGTCCATTCACACACCTCTTCTCAGAGCTCCTTTTCTTGACCAGCCAGCCAAACCATCAGTCATTGCACATACAACTGTGTAGATGCATACTTCTAGCCATCTCTCCTTCTGGGTGAGATAAACAACCAATATAGTGTTCAAAGTTCTACCTGCTGGGAGCATTTCCACAGTCCTTCGGGCCACTCTCAGGTGGGGCTCTGGTGCTGCCACTGTTGACTTTCGAGTGGTGCCAGAATGGTGTGCAGAACCATTTGTAAACCAGGCCTCTATTTTTTCTTCCTTGGCCAACTGGATATAGAGAATTTCCTATGGGGCACAGGGGCAAGTTGAGAGGGAGGAGGTAATTTTGTTGTTAATTCTCACCCAAGGATATTTTTTCCATTGGTTTTTAGAGAGAGAGAAAGAGAAATAGATGTGAGAGACACATCGATTGGTTGCCCCCCACACATGCCCTGACCAGGGCCAGGGATCCAACCTGCAACCCAGGTACATGCCCTTGACTGGGAGTCGAACCCACAGCCCTTCAGTGCATGGGCCAATGCTCTAACCATTTAGAACACCGGCCGGGGCAGGAGGAGGTAATTTAGTCGGAGTAGAGGTCATGGGAATTTAAGCCACTTGCCTCTGCAGCAAGACCTATACAACCCTGATCTTGTATATTCTACTTCCTCTTGATAACAGAGTGCTACTGTACACACCCAGTTTTGTGGCTTGGTGAGTTAGATAATACCGTCTTAATAATGGGTAGTTCACATGGTAACTTGGTGGCCTGTGGTCAAATGTTGAGTCAGAGCCAGAAGCACTTTCTCAAAAGGAGGATAATTATCTGCAGAGGGTGGGATAACTTTCCTCCAAAGTCGTAAATTCTGTGCTCTGATTTCACCTACAGGGGCCTTCCAAAGTCTCCGTAAAACATGACTATCTGCTCCCGACACTTTAAGTCCCGTCAGATCTGCTGGCAGAGCAACCAGCGTCTCTATTCAAAGAAGGATTAAAAGTCTGTTTCTGTCCCTACCTACGGGTTATTTTCACTAGAGTATGGCATCATATGATGGCTGATGAGCAGGGGCCTATGGGATACCAGTGGGTTATATTTCACCCACAGTTGCTATAATTGTAGACTTTTATTTTGGCATATTCCTTTAGTTAAATAATAATTTAAAAATTTGAGTCAACTTACCAAATTGAACATCTGTGCTTTTATGAGGTTAAAAGAAAAGGAATTAAAAAAAAAACTTTTGAGGGGAGGATTTGGAAACTAAAATTTATAGATTGCAAATAGGAGAAAAGTCTGTTTCACTTATGAAATAGCAATAGAGATGAATAGTTTAATTTTTTAAAGAAATGTATTTTTGAACAAATGCTGTATCATTTGATGTTTACCTAAATTTACATTTTGGATATGAAATTAGTATGAATGTAATTATTGTTTCATATATATCATAAAATGATTTCAGAGATCTGTGACAGTTTTTAATCATGTCTTCCTTTGGAACTGTTCCTTGAGTTTTTTAAAGAGAACTGTTAGATTATTAGAATGCTGGTACCATTCTACAAATTCTCTTATCATTACATTTATCATATGGCTTATCTACATTTTATGTTGTAAGAATATGAGAATTGCTGACATTTCAAGTAAGGACTAGTAGATTCATATCACATAAAATATTTCTTGTACTTCTGCTATATAACTCCAGATGAATAGGAAAGATATTAACCAATTTAGGAGAAGTCATGTTTTTTTTGTTGTTGTTGACATAGCCCTTTGACTTCAAGTGTCTTAAAACTATCATGGTTTAGCCTAGCTAATTTGAACTCACTGCAAAGAAGTTGCATCTAATTTTTGTCAGAAGTGTGACTTGAATAAATCTTGAAAAGAGGCTTACCTTGGTAGATAGGCAAAAATAGGATGCATACAAAGATAGAATAAGGCTGAATCACTAGGGGCTGAAAAGAAAGAATATTAGGACAGATGAGAACTCTGAGGCTTCAGAAACAGGTCATCTGGGGAGGAAATCTAAGAACAAGAAATTACAAGGAGATGCTAGTTTTTACTGTGTGAGAATTAAAGAGATGGGAATTGGAGTGTGGTGGTGAATTGGGGTTAAATGAAATTATTTAGGAAATAGGGTAGTAAATTGGCTAACCCCAGCAGAGTTCATCTAAAAATATGTAGGTGGTAATCAAACAAAATTTATGGGGAAATACCACAGCCTAAGATTAGCAGTCTCCTAGTTGTTAAAGCAAACCTTGACTGTAGTGTGTGTTCTCCATAAATGTGGATTGAATGAATGGGGTTTTGAAAGTAGCCTCAGTTTGCAAAGTAGACATTGAACAGGAAGGAGAAATGGTTGGTGGTGGGTTACCCTTGTAGTGTGAAGCAATCTGATAATTATCAGGATAATTACTCATAGATAAGACAGGAGAAGCTGTCTGAAATACAGAGGCAGCCAAACTGGTGGGGGGACATCTAAATGAAGTTTGCTTCTTCATGCAACAAATAGTTAAGTTCTGTGGTCTTAGTAAAGTGTGTGTGTGTGTGTGTGCGTGTGTGTGTGTGTGTGTGTGTGTGTGTAGTATCTTGTTAAGTATCCTCACTAGGTAGGTCAACCATTGAATCATTAAAGGACAAAATTTAAGGTGACATCCTCTTGCCTGCCACTACCCTAAGTTTCTAGCTGCCACCTAATTGCTGAAGAATTTATGTTGCTGATACTTGCATTTAATTTCCTCTTTTAAAAGGAATAAAAAGAAAAACGTCCTTTCTGTATACTTATTTATTGTCTCTTCTGTCACCTGTTTTTTCTGCTTTCTGAAAATCATTGTTCTTCTTTTACACACTAGGGAGAGGAAGTTCAATGTCAGTATGTTGTGACATGTGCAGGACTTTACTCAGACCGTATTTCCGAGCTGAGTGGCTGCAGTCCCGATCCTCAAATTGTACCATTCCGGGGGGATTACTTGCTCTTGAAGCCAGAAAAATGCTATCTTGTGAAAGGAAATATTTATCCGGTAGGTATGATGCTTTTGCAGTCTCATCCTTCTCAAGATGACGGGGCAGAAAGGGAATGAAACAAAAACTTTTACCTGGGTCAGAACTAAGAGATATTTTGAAGGGCTTTTTATGCAAGTTTTTTATCTTTTTCTCTTATGGTTAAACTCCTAAACATTTATTCTGGTATCATAGTCATTAACTTATACTAAATTGCCCACAAGTACATGTCTTCAAAAAGCATGAGTGCATCATGGGAAGGGCTAGCAAGAAATAACCCAATTCTCCCTCCTATCTGGTGGAAGGAACACTCATAAGAGAACTTGCCCTTTTTGCATGCCCAGATACCCAGCCCTCTTTCTCAGTTCTACCTATAGGTGCAGAAAAAGGGCCACTCTGTAGTTTCATGATGGAGAAGACAGAGCCCTTTAAATGAAGAGTTCATTCTGCATGGAACTACTAGGTTGAACCAGACGGAATTACTAATATTCGTCTACTTAGAGTTTTTGACCTTGCCAGAACATCCATTGCATGTGCTCTATCCCGGTACATTCCGACTTTACAAAAGCCTGTGCTATGAATGAGTGTGTGTTTCTGGCAGCTCTGATTTTACTTGCCAGCCACATACATCCCAAGTTGGGGGTGTGGTGGGAGGGTAGGGAGAGGGATAACCTGAAGTAGGACAGTTCTTTTTTTTTCTTTTCCCAGAAAGAGGAATAGATGGGAGTGTGTATTAGTGTCAGTAGCATCAGTGTTTTCTGTGTGGCATTCCTAGGCAGAAGCATGTAAATAAAAAGTATATCTCAGTCCGGATCAAAATAATACAAATTAAATGCATGGGAAGAAAGTGATTTATATTACCACTTGAATATTTGCATGCATGCTAACATGCAGTATGGAACAGGGCTCACAGTTCTTTGCTGCGTTAAATCCGTAGGTCCCAGATAGCCGGTTTCCTTTCCTAGGAGTTCACTTCACACCAAGGATGGACGGCAGTATTTGGCTAGGGCCTAATGCCGTTCTTGCCTTCAAACGAGAGGGCTACAAACCCTTTGACTTCAGTGCCCGAGATATTACGGATGTAATTACCAAGAGGTAACTACTTTACTTTAAAAAGTGACTTTGTGTGTTTATATTTTTAACATGGGAAATTTTGTCTTTCTTGAAATTCTACTTATTGGGTAAATCCTCACATTTGTGATTATTATATTGATTTTTTTTATTAATCTAAATTAAGAGCCTTGAAGAATAAGAATAATGTTTTAGCTACCTCAGGGAAATTCTCACGATCCAGGGTGAAGTCTTGGTTAAAAATAACAAGACCAAGACCCAGTCACATACGTATGTGACGATCCAAACCTTGTTTTGCTAACCTAGTTGCATTTGAAAAAAAAAAAGTTTCAAAACCAGTAGATGGCTTACTTTGATAAAGTGATTTCAAGCCAGTCACCATCATTTTGAAAACCACCGGAGAAACTTCGGACAACCAAGGTTGTTTCCTTCGGTGGAAAATTAACAGTGTGTTGACCCGAGACTCAGAATCTTTACTTTATTGTAAGAACTCAGTAAGGTGTTGTGTGTTTTTTTTTTTGTTTTTTTTTTGTTTGTCTTTTGGGGGTGGAGGCGGGGGTGCGGGGGATGGTTCATTTTAGCAGTGTTGCTCTCCAGAGATTTTCACATCAAAATTACTAGAAAGCTTTTTGAGTTATACTTGAATTTCACCTTCTACAGATTCTGAAACAGAAGGTTTGGGATGGGGTTTTCTAGCATGTGTCCTTTAAAAATACATATATACATAGACTACACAGAGTCTCACTTGAGAATCATTACTAGAGTATCTTACCTCTGGCTGATTAAAAAAAAAAAAAAGGTAAACATCTATCTTACTTCTTTAATGTCCTGAGGTAGAGATCTGCTAATGCCTTTTAGGTGTGTTTTGAAAGCATGTAACATTTGTATCAGAAAGCCTTTTAGTGGCAGGCTGTATAGAATTCTAGTTTGAAGCCAGCATTCTCAGGTCATCTAAGGTGTTTACCTTTGAAAGGTGTTAACCTTTGGTTTTGAAGGGCATTCCTTTGATGAAGTTTCCTTCTTACAGTGGCCAAAAGTTGATTTTCTTTTACTATGTGGTTTTTCTGACTTTGCCTAGATTTTTGTGATGCCCCTGTCCAAATCTAATAGTTGTAAAGATGTTTAATAGTAATAAAGAATTCCTTTCTCTCAAAAATTTTATTTTCTGTTTCCAGTGGTTTGATTAAACTGGTGTCCCAGAATTTCTCCTATGGAGTCAGTGAGATGTATAAAGCCTGTTTTCTCAGTGCAACAGTGAAACACCTTCAGAAGTTTATCCCTGAAATTACTGTCCGTGATATACTTAGGTAAGAAAAAGCCATAAGGATTGTAAGTACAGTCGTGATTTAGGGGAACTTGGGAGGTGGGTCTGACTTGGTGATTCATAGGCTCCCTTTCAGTCGGCGTGCCCACTGAATCTTTGTGTGCTCTCTCTTTCCCAGCAAGTTGTTGTGTTCCCTTTGCAGTGCATGAGTTGGGCATCGCTGCGTGGTGGCCCTTAGTGCTGGAACTACATCTACCATTTATAATTATCTAGACTACCTTACAGCATTAAACTGAAATCTCCATTGCATCTGTATTAATATGCCACCGTCACCTTTGTGTCTAGCTATCACTCATGATAAAAAAAATCTTGTCTGAAATTTTTTCAAAAAGATTTTTTATTGATTTTTAGAGAAGGAGGGAGAGGGGTGAAGGGAGAGAGAAGGGGAGAGAAACATCAATGTGAGAGCGAAACATCAGTTGGTTGCCTCCTGCACACCCCTTACCAGGGATTGAGCCCAAAACCTAGGTATGTGCCCTGATCCGGAATCGAACCGGCAACCATTTAGTGCACAGGATGACGCCCAACTAACTGAGCCATACCATCCAGGGCTTGTCAGGAATTTTTAAGCTTTCCCTGGCTTCTGCCTCTTGTGATTCCAAAGCCTTTTCCTTTAATTCTGTATAAGATCAGTGGTCACCGTATTAACTAATTAGGTAATAAACACATTACAATGCCCTATTTTGTTTGATTCTTAAAACCTTCTAGAAACCACTCCTATACTTGGCATCTTACCTTACCTCTTTCCCACTGCTTTTTTTTTTCTTTTTGGGGATCCTACTCCACTCAGTGACTCTACTTTCAGGACAGAAGTGGGAAGTAGTGTAGTAACTGTCAATGTGAGTCAAAGGAAGGATTACTTAAATTGTTTTGGTGTGTGTGTTTTTTTTTTGTTTGTTTGTTTGTTTTTCTTAAAGGTCAAAAGCTTTCTGGACTTGATCTGTAAGTTGTCCTAAATACTACCCGAGCCTATTTCCTTTTCTCGTTGGTGACATTTGTATGGTGTTCACCTTTTCCCCCGAATAAGCCATTTGTTAGGCCTAATCAGCAGTGTACTTTGAGATACTCCCCTCCATGAATCCATCCCATGAATCTTCAGAGAACTAAATGTCTGTCGCTGCAAAACTTGACTGGTATAAAATGTCAGCAGCTTGACTGAGAAGAGAGCAATCATCATGTCAGCTGTCTCCCTTAGGGGAACGTCCTGGTCTAAGTCTGACTCTAATATGTCATTCACAGACCAGCCTCTTTGAATCCTTAGAAGATCTATGAAAACCCAGCTAATGTTTTACTCTTATCTCTCTCACTCCTCTACTTACCTTCTGAAATGGAAGGGATAAAAATATCTAGGCTTTATTTTCTTTCACTCATCTATAAATAAAGGCTTTTATGTTTTCAGTGGTTTGCTTTAGCAAACTTGTTATGTTTTATATCTAAAATAAGTTGGTCAAATCTGGTGTCTGTTACTGCTATTGATATTCCTTGGAAAATACAATAGGTGTATAAACAGTTGCAGTGAATTCACTGTTCATATTCGATTACCACCCTTTTGTAAAAGCCTGAGGGAAACAATTCAGACCAGTGGATTTCATAAGTTAGAACTGGACTGGGGCTGGTGGGTTTTGGTGAACACTTCTTTGTCTCTCCCTGTGGGAGTGTTGATTTCAATTACCAGTTTCGTTAGCAGGTAGTAGAGAAGGGTATTCAGCATTGTAGGCAGGTGCGTTTAGGGACAAATTCACTCCAATCACAGATGAGTTTCTCTTTGGAGATAGAAAAGTAATTCCATTTACTTCTTCCCTTTTATTCAGTTCCTATAGCTATTAAATGTGGGAAATTATCAATAAAAAAGGAAGTTGTAGAAGATAGGTTTGATACCATTTATATAAGTTTATACAATACCACATATTATTTATGGATTGCACACGTAATGTGAAAATAAAACCAAATATAGTGGTAAACACCTAATTCAGGAGAGTGGTTACCTCTGGGGAGAGAAGGGAATGGGATCCAGAGAGTTCCACAGGGACTATTATCATATCTGTAATGCTTTATTTCTTAAGCTGTTTGTGAAGAAAGCAGGTGTTCATCATATTATTCTCTGTACTTTGTCATATGCCTGAAATATTAAATAATAATAATAATAATGATCAGTAGACTTTCCCACATTCTGAAGTGCAGTTCTTGCTTATCATGCAACCCACTGTAGTAAAACCATAAATGCTGTACCAGTAATATTGAGACAGAAGCATATTAAGCAGTTCTGGATAGTAAAAGAGAACTGAAGCAGCACTTTTAATGGGGTATTTAGCTCAGGATTATGTTCTTAAATTGCAGTAACCACCAGTGAGCATCCGGTTTGACTTCTCATTGCCTAGCCAGAGTATCTTGGACAGTAACTTAATAGTGAACATTAGATTGGAATGTAAAGTTACAATCTGTCAATATATATGCATTAGGCATTCAAATTTCTCATTGTTAAATCAGATCTCTAAGGTTCTTAATTTTAGCTCTAAAGTCCTTTAACTTGCTCTGTGATTAATTTGGACATGGTAATCCAACAGCAGTTTGTATCTGTTAATATTGCAACGATGTAAAAGATGAAGACATAAATGCCAAGATCTCTCCTTTTCCCACTCTTCACTTTGAAAAATATCATATTGGGGGAATTCTAGAGTAAATTTTTAGGCAAGATGTTTTCATCCTGAGTGATAGCTAAAGACTATACTGTGTCATTGTGAAAGGCAAATGTGAAAGCCAAATATTCCTGCAGTAAAGGTGATCTAGATCAGGGTTTGTTAGTATTGGCACTATTGACATTTGGGGCCAAATAAGTCTTTGTTGTGGGAGACTGCCCAGTTCACTGTAGGATGTTCAGCAGCATCTCTGACCTTTACTGACTAGATGCCAGCAGTACTTCCTTGTTAAGACAACCAAAAATTTCTACAGACATCGCCAAATGTCCTCTAGGGGGCAAAATCTCCCTTGGTTGAGAACCACTAAACTAATAAATGTGGTAACTCTCACACTACCCAACACTAAGAGAGTCTGGAGAAAATATAATAAAAATCCTTTGAAATACATATAGCCGGGAGTGCGAGAAAGTAAGGTAGGGGCATCCCAGGAGTGAGGACTGAGGGGAAATAGGAAACCCAGATACTGAGAGGAATCGGTGCTTGATGCTGTCCTGGAGGGGTAGGGAGGATTGGCTGATTTTTATAGAAATATAGTTATGTTTTATTTTTAATTGCTTTGTGATTTACATACAGTAAAGTAATGCAGATCTTAAGTGGTCAGTGAATTTTTCCAATTGTATAAACTCATGTATCAACCACAGAAAACAAAATATAAAACATTAGGGACTTGTATTTTAATTGCCACTCAAGTGCTGGAAAGGAGGCCTTGGGTCTGTAAAAGGTAAAAAGTTGGAACTGAGACCCCTGGGTTAATCCAGGGACTCTTGAAGGGCTGCACCCTCAGTGAAAAGGAAGTCTTTTAAAAAAATTCCCCTTGGCACCAAGGAAGTGTTAGGAATTTTGTCTGTCCTGGTCTTGAGGGAAGGGGGAAAGTAGGGTGGGTAGAATCTCCTAAAAATCTAGAACCCTGGGCCTCTCCTCACACCTGTTTGGAGAGAGAGAGAGAGAGAGCGAGAGAGAGAGAGAGAGAGAGAGAGAGAAGGGTAATTTGACTAAAGACTAAATATTGATGATACTAAGCAATAATTCGTTTATTATTATTATTTTTAACCCTTTGCGGTCGTATTAAATTTGGACATGGGTGTCGTACTGGTTGGAATTAATTTCCATTGAAAGAGCAGTGATACATAACATGCAAGATTATGAAGGATAAACAAGATTAATACTTTTTTGGAACTACGTCACTACTAGTAGAATCACTACAAACGTTATCACTTTCTACATCAGAGTCAGTATTCAAGGTGCCAAAATAAAACTCTTCATCGTTACTTTCAGATTCGCAGTACACTTCTTTTGGTAACTTTCTTTTTGCCATTTTGGAGTATTATTTTGAAATATCTTAACAAGCGAGAATGCCTAATTACAGTTAAACGTAATTTGTAAAGCTTTATTTGAAATTCTGCGAAGTATCTCCGAAGCTTGTCGATTTCTTCACTCTCAAAAGGCGACTGACTCGCCACGGTGTTTTGCATGGCGAGTGTGGAACGACCGCGTTTGTTTATATTGAGTTTCGATATCTCTGATTTGTCGGGGCAATGTTTTGGTTCGTGACAAGGTCGCTTAGACACTTAAGAGCTTTCAGAGAAATTATGAACTGATACATGAATGAATAGAGTTAAGAAAAAGCTTTGGTGGCTGAGAGTAGACAAACGACCGCAAAGGGTTAAAGAATCCTTTTAGCGCTGGCGTGGCTCAGTGGTTGAACATTGACCTAGGTGGTCATGGTTCAATTTCCGGTCAGGGCATATGCCCAGGTTGCAGGCTTGATCCCCATTGTGGGGTGTGCAGGACGCATCTGATCAATGATTCTCTCTCATCATTGATGTTTCTGTCTCTCCCTCTCCCTTCCTCTCTGAAATCAATAAAAATACATTTTTTTAAAAAAAGAATCCTTTTAAAAGAAATGTAGTGAAATGATGTGCCATCTGGAATTTTCTTTTATTTTTTATTTTTTCTAAAGCTCATTCTTTTTAAAAAATATATTTTATTGATTTTTTACAGAGAGGAATGGAGAGGGATAGAGAGTTAGAAACATCGATGAGAGAGGAACATCGACCAGCTGCCTCCTGCACACCCACTACTGGGGATGTGCCCGCAACCACGGTACATGCACTTGACTGGAATCTAACCTGGGACCCCTCAGTCTGCAGGCCGACACTCTATCTACTGAGCCAAACCAGTCAGGGCTGGAATTTGCTTTTAAATAATCCAGTGGAGAGAGGTTGCGGGCACATCCCCAGTAGGAGGTGTGCAGGAGGCAGCTGATTGATGTTTCTCTCTCATCGATGTTTCTAACTCTCTATCTCTCTCCCTTCCTCTCTGTAAAAAATCAATAAAATATATTTAAAAAAAAAAAAGTGTTCCCAGGATGGCAATACCTCTGGAGCACCTGATAGAAGCAAATGTAAAACCTCTGTGGAGGGACAAAACCTCAACCCAACCCCCCCAGTTTTCCCCCAGATAAAGTCCTGCTGAACAAAAACTATTCATCGAAAGTTACAAAACACCACAAGTGAGAGTAAGCAGATAGAGTAAATACCAGAATAAGGCCCCCACAACTTTGAGTAATGGTAATATTAGAAACTAATATGCTTCAGTGAATTAAAAGGAATTGAAAACATGAATAAGAACAAAAACAAAAAGCAAAACCTTAGGCAAATTTGGAAACCAAATAATTAGAATTTCTAGAAATTAAAAATATAGTTCTTAAATTTTAAAATTCAAATGACTAAGTTAGATAACTGGTTAGACCTTACGAGAAAATCAGTAAATTAAAATTTGAAGCATTTATAGAACAGTGTTGCAAGACAAAGATCCATCATGTGGGTAGTAGGTACTAAAGGCATCGAGAAGAAAATGAGAAGATTCCAGACTACATTTCAGAGAAATTGCAGAAAAATTGAGAAGAGGCAATACTTTGAAGAGTGCTTGAGAATTTTCTGGAGTTGACAAAAAAGACAAAATTCAGGATGCACAATGAGTCCCATCTGAATAAATAAAACTAAACGCAAGAATAGAAATAGATTATATAATTTCCAAGTCAATAAAGGAGAAAAAAGAATATAGAAAACTTAGTAAGTCAAGAAGGAAATGGGAAAATTCCAGAAAAACCCCAATAATACCCCAGTAATATGGTAGAAATCAAACATATCAGTAATTGCAATACATGTAAATGTATTTAATAGTTGAGATGGAGATTGTTAGGTTGGATTTAAAAAACCATCCATATACTATGCAAATGCTTATTAGAAGAAAGATGAGTACTGGGTTCATTTCAGATAAAATACACCATAAGGCAAAAATTATTATTAGGTTAAGAGGATCACCATAAATTTATTGCATATACATAATATGAAGTGCAGAAAACAAAAACTGACACAACTGTAAGCAGAAAACAACAAATTCACAATTGTGGTGAATGATCTTAGGTCTGTTGATAGAAGAGATCAAGTAAATAAAATATATATTTGATTTAGTGGATTCATAAGACTCCCCACCGCCATTACAGAATACTTGTGTTACAGGAAGGGGGTGGGGAGAGAGAGAGAGAGAGAGAGAGAGAGAGAAAGAAACATCGATGTGGGAGAGACACATTGATTTGTCGCCTCCTGCACATTTCCCCAATGGGGGCCGGGGATCAAACCTGCAACCAAGTGCACCTCGGGGGCCTATGCTCTAATAACTGAGCCACACTGGCGAGGGCTGGCTGACTGTATCTTGTGTTCTAAGCGATGTATCTGATTCTTACTTGGAAATCCTTACAGCTCAAAAAAATCTTGTCCAGATTCCCTGCAGGCTTCTGTAAATGTAAGGCAGATTACTTATCTTTATTGTAGAACCTTTCACCTTGTTGTTATTTTTACTTCTCTAAAAATGAATAGTATATCCATGTAACTTCAGGCAGGTTACTTAATCACTCTGTGTTTCTTCACTGTTAAGTATAAACTGTTACCAGCCTCTTAGAGTTGTTGCAAGGATTAAATGATAGAATTCTTAACACTGACTAAGCAATTGGTAAATAATAGCTATTATTATCATTATCTCTCCTCAGCCACGCTGAGGTCTCAGAGGGCAGAGCTCCCATATTGTTCTCGATATCTTACTCAAGTGCTTATCTGTGTGGGCACAAAATCAATAAAAACGTTTATTAATATTATTGTCTGATTTCTTGAGTCTTGGTGGTATGTATAAGGCAGGTATTTTCAAACTGTTTTCTTGAGCAGATTCAATGAAGGTGCTTTTGGATTCTAAAAATATTTTATTCCCATTTCATCTGTAAATTTCTAAACTATTTTAAAAACAAAAAATCTAATTTGTAAACTCATGTTATAAAACAGCACTTTTAGTAGTAAAGCCTCTTACTGTTTTAACCTACTATCAAATTAATTCATTTTTGTTCTTATCTTGTTATCTCTTTAATTAATTGAAGGTTAGCCCAATATTGAAGGCTAAACTGTTAAAAATTAAAACAAACTACAAAATAAGAACTTGCTGCCATTTTCAGATATTTTTCTACATAAATTTTTAATAGTGTACAATCAAAACAAAACACAAAAATAGAATTCTGTGGTGGATTTAGGAATGCATTGGCATGCGTATCTCCTACTTTTATTGCTTTGTATTAATCAGAAGAGCCTTATTTTAATTTATTGAATTTATAATAAATTCATTTTATACATTTAAATAAAAATACATTTATTCTAATTAAATGTGGATTTATCTGCTACTTTGGAAAGAAAAGGTATTTATAACTAACCCATTCGTAAATTCATTTGATAAGCATTTATTGGCACTGTTATGTGGTGGGTATTATGCTCTAGACCAGCGGTTCTCAACCTGTGGGTCGCGACCCCTTTGGGGGTAGAACGACCCTTTCACAGGGGTCGCCTAAGACCATCGGAAAACACATATATAATTACATATTGTTTTTGTGATTAATCACTATGCTTTAATTATGTTCAATTTGTAGCAATGAAAATACATCCTGCATATCAGCTATTTACATTACGATTCATAACAGTAGCAAAATTACAGTTATGAAGTAGCAACAAAAATAATTTTATGGTTGAGGGTCACCACAACATGAGGAACTGTATTAAAGGGTCGCTGCATTAGGAAGGTTGAGAACCACTGCGGTAGACTGAGAATATAAGTTTACAGGTTATAACTGACAAGCCTAATGGGCTTCCACATGATTGTGCATTTAGAAGAATAAAGACTTTAATGCTTTCGGAATACTTTGAGACCACTGACTTGTAAAGTGTCCTATTTCTTCCAGTCAGTTGACTGCCACTCTTGGTTTTGCAGAGGTCCAGCTGGAGTAAGAGCCCAAGCTCTGGATCAAGATGGAAATCTGGTAGACGATTTTGTATTTGATGGAGGAGATGGGGTTATTGGAAATCGCATTCTTCACGTGAGAAATGCACCTTCCCCTGCTGCTACTTCGTCCCTTGCAATTTCTGGAATGATTGCAGATGAAGTACAACAAAGATTTAAACTGTAAATAATGAAAGGAGCTAGCTACGCATTTTAATCTCCACATTCAGCAACATCCACAAGAACATACTAATTGAATTCTTTAATTTTTAAAAAATGGTTTGAAAGTAGCATTTTTAGTTATCTCATTTAATAACCACTGAATTGTTAAACTGATATAACAGAGAAATAATTTTTTAAAGTTCATGTTCTTTTACTTAGAGAATAAAGAGAAAAGGTACAGTTGTACCTTTTCCTGAATCCTTGACTTTTCTCTTTTTTTGTTTTTTTTGTTAATCCTCATCTGAGGATATTATTTCCATTGCTTTTCAGAGAGTGGAAGGGAGGAGAGTGGGGGAGAGAGGAGAGAGAGAAAGAGGAAGGAAACATTGATATGAGAGAGACACATTGATTGGTTGCCTCCCACATTCAACCCCGACTGAGCCGGGGATAGAACCTGTAACCCAGGTACATGCTCTTGACCGGGAATTGAACCCACGACCCTTTGGTGTGTGGGCCAGTGCTCTAACCACTGAACGGTGCCAACCAGGACTTGACTCTTAATTGACCTTGCCCTCACCAACCATAATCTAGAGATTCAGTCTTTTGGAATTTCTGTGAATGATGGCATAAAAATTTGCTTATTCCCTTAATTTTTTGGCTTTATAGTAAGCTTTTTGGTCTCTTATAGACAAGAAGATATAATATATTGTAGGTTACAAAACTTTTAATTTTTTTAAAATATATTTTTATTGATTTCAGAGAGGAGGGAGAGGGAGAAAGAGATAGAAACATCAATGATGAGAGAGAATCATTGATCGGCTGCCTCCTGCATGCCCCCTACTGGGGATTGAGCCCACAACCTAGGCATGTGTCCTTCAGTCCGCAGGCCAATGCTGTATCCACTGAGCCAAACTGGTTAGGGCCAGATCTTTTAATTTTAAAGTCAGAAAAACTCAGATTTAGAGCAATAATATTTGTATTTGGGAATTCTTGATTTAAAATAGACATGAAATTTCACATTTTAAAGTAGTTTGAGTAAAATTCTATCAAGCTATAATATTTTCAGAGAAATGCAAAGTCTTTTTTATTCCCAGCTCTTTATAACTGACTTGGTATGGTGTCACCACTAAATCTAAACAGCAGTACACTATGAATGGTTGTTGCCAACTTGTCAGTTTTTTCTGGTTGAGAAACTAAAAGAACATAGAACTGATAGGTTTTTATGAGAGCAGTTTTAGAATCCTGGCACTGATATACAGAACTCTGTGATTTAAAAATTATTTACCTCTTACCTCTGCTCTTGAGTTACACCAAGGTTCTCAGATGTTGGCCAAGATCACTAGTGATTCATGCCGACTTGGTTTTTCAGGGATCCTATTTCTTCATTTTTAGAAAATACCTAACTTAGAGGCATTCACTTTTGTAAACCGCAAAAGTGCCTTACATTTATGTGTGCTTCATGAGTATTTTAAATTGTTGGCCAGTGCCATACTGTATATAATATACTGCATATATGTGTGTGGTATCTATTGAAAGGATTCTTGTAATTCAGAAAGTAGGAAAACAGAAGTATAAATGAAAATAAGGCAGCCTAATGATTGGGGAAATTTTTATTACAGAACAACCATGTAGGTGAGATATTTTCACCCTTTCCCTTACATGTACTCTCTCAGGATTAATCATGCCCTCTTTTGTTTTGTTTTTTCCTCTTATCACTCCAAAGATGTGTAATGGATGAGTTAGAAGTATGTACATTTTGGTTGATAGAAAAAGCTTTTTTGTTTTTTTTCCTTTTCACTTCAAGCCTCTGTGATTACATTGATTGAACTACCTCATTCATTAATTTGAAAACGTACATAACCGTCTGCTCATGTTCAAGAAGTAACACATCCAGGAAAATAGACTAGGCATTTATTCAAAACTTGGAGTAAGCATATTGAAAGCATTCAGAAACCATTCACGGAAGAAACAAACCCTAGTGGTTCTTCATAACAACTGATTCCTCCAAGAAATGTAGTACACAGGATATGTTTTTCTGTTCCATAATGAGACTGTTAAGAAATGGGAAATATTACAATTCTCTATTTCATCAACAGTAAGATTGCATATGCACTAAGCTGTGAAAAACTGAAATTACAAAAATAACTGCCCTAATTAAAGCAACCCTCATTCCACATGGGTCTGTACTAACCTGAAAATACAAGTGAAAAAGTTATTGAAAGAGTTTTGAATGTGTAGGTTATTCTGTTTGTAAAACATAAGTTATTGGTGTCATTAGGGTTTTGTTGTGTAACATGAATGTAATATTTAAAAGTTTTGTGTATTTCTGAGAGAAGAAAATGTATATTAACATTAAAAAATATTTTAATGAGTCTTGGTGTTGCGAACATAATTTTTAGTTTCATTTATTTGAAACTCTGATTCAAATAATTGTTTTTGTGTGTAGAACTTGAACTGTCAAAGCTTTAGTAGCCAGATTTTTAAAAATGCACAAAAATCTTCTGTATCTATGTGTAATCTAGAAATGAGGTAGAGTAGTAGTTTATATTTTGGGTAAAAAGTGGAACACTTCCCAACTTACAAAAATGGCTTTCTATCTGATAGTGGTGCCAATATCTGGCTGACCTCTGTGCCATCTTTATACCCCGGAGCACCAGGGGGCATTATTTCTGTTTCATAGCAGAATGTTTATCGCCTATAAACACACAGTGCTTTCCAGGGGTGAGGGCAGAGGAAAGGGAGTTCAACAGATCAATCTTGAAGAAATTTATTAAAGATTATAGTTCTTGGGAAGACATGTTTGGTATGTTATGTCTTACAGGGGGCCGGGCTCCTGGACATGAGCCTGTCATTACAGGGCAAATGATCTGAGTACCTGCTCCAACTTCTTTCCGGCAGGTGGACCGTAAGAGAGCCAACGTTAGCTACATCAAAGAACCATGAAAGCGAGTGACAATGACATTTATTGTTTCCTGTGGTGTTGCTTTGGTTTGCTACTGACTGGCACTTGTAGCTTTAAATAAATTGAGGAAGAGAGAGTACATGGTAGAAACATTGAGTAAGTCCTTCTCGAAAATGTTTTCAGTAGGAGAATATTTGTGGTAAAATTTGAACTGCCTTGTAAAATCTGATTGGGTCATTCAAGTTGTCTCCCAAAAGCCATTCTAAATTTTAAAAAGGCATAATTACTGTCAAATTATTGCTATGATAGCATATTAATTGTAACTCCAATTTATAATTGAGCTTTTTGTTATATCCACAGGGCCTCCCCCTTACAGTATCAGTATGTTTAATAGTTGAATTTTTAAATCCTCACCTGAGGATATGTTTTATTGATTTGAGAGAAAGAGTGAGAGAGAGAGGGAGGGAGAAACATTGATGGGTCGCCTCTCTTATACTCCCTGACTGGGGATCGAACCTGCAACCTAAGTAATGTGCCCTGACCAGGAATCAAACCTGTAAACTTTTGGTGTATGTGATGATGCTCCAATTGAGTCACCCAGCCAGGGCAATAGTTGCATTTTTAACACTTGAAGCAAATGCTTATAATGAAGTTAGAAATTTTTCATTTATAAATGGCTTTTAAATAATGTTTTGAATAAGTACAGCATTCATATGGTTGAAAAGTCACAGAAAAATTCACAGTGAAAAGTGTTCTCTCTGCTAGCCACCTGTCCCATCCCTGAGGCAACAAGAATTGTCACTATCTTGTGCAGCTTTGCAGATATATTTATATATAATAAAATACATTGCCTTCATTTTTTGACATAAGTAGTAACAAACTCTGAATTGCTGTATTATACATCTTGCTCTTTTCGCTTTGTAGCGTACCTTTGAGAATGTTTAAGAGCCCTGATCACAGTAACCTGGTTCTTTTAAAATGACTTTATAGGTTCCATCTATGGATTTACTATTTTTTGTTGAACTAGTCCCTTATGTTTACTGATGATTTTTTAAAAAATTATCTTTACTGTTGAAAGGATTACAGATGTTCCCTTTTCCCCCCTCCATTAATTCCCTCCACCCCGCTCCTGCCCCCTCCCCAGCTCTTCACTGCACCATTGTCTGTGTCCACGGGTTATGCATGTATGCATATAAGTTATTTGATTAAACTATTCCTGCCTCCCTCCTTCCCTCTGAAATATATCAGTCTATTGCATGCTTCAGTGTCTCTGGTTCTATTTTGCTTGTCAGTTTATTTTGTTCATTAGATTCCACATAAAAGTGAGATCATGTGATACTTGTCTTTCTCTGTCTACTTATTTCATTTAGCGTAATACTCTCCAGGTCCCTCTGTGCTGTCTCAAAGAGTTAAGGATTCTCCCTTTTTACAACTGCATAGTATTCCATTGTGTATATGTACCAGTATTTTTTTATCCATTCATCTACTGATGGGCACTTGGGCTGTTTCCAGATCTTAGATTTTGTAATAACACTGCTATGGACATAGGGGTACAATATACTCTTTCTGATTGATGTTTCAGGCTTCTTAGGATATATTCCTAGAAGTGGGATCATTAGGTCAAACTGCAGTTCTATTTTTCGTTTTTTTAAATATATTTTTCTGATGTTATCAAATGTGTACTCTTTAAAAATTTTATTTTTATTGATTTCAGAGAGGAAGAGAGAGAGAGAAACATCAATGAGAGAATCATTGATCAGCTGCCTCCTGCATACCCCCCACTGGGGATTGAGCCCACAACCTTGATCAGAATCGAACCGGGGACCCTTCAGTCCACAGGCCAGCACTCAGTCCACTGAGCCAAACTGGCTAGGGCCATTTTTCATTTTTTGAGGAAACTTTTCCATAGTGGTTGTACCAGTTTGCATTCCCACCAACCATGTTCAAGGGTTGCTTTTTCTCCACATCCTCACCAGCACTTGTTGTTTGTTGATTTATTGATGATAGCCATTCTGACAGGTGTGAGGTGATATCTCATTGTGGTTTTAATTTGCATCTCTCTGATGATTAGTGATGAGCATTTTTTTCATATGTCTCTTGGCCATTTGTATGTCCTCTTTGGAGAAATGTCTATTCAGGTCTTCTGCCCATTTTTTAAATTAGATTGTTTGTCTTCCTTTTGTTGAGTTGTGTGAGTACTTTAAATATTTGGAAAATTAACCCCCTATTAGAGGTATCTTTGGCAAATATGTTCTCCCATACAGTGGGTTCCCTTTTCATTTTAATGCTGGTTTCCTTTGCTATGCAGAAGCTTTTAGTTTGTTGTTGTTGTTGTTTTCATTTGTTTCTCTTGCCCTAGGTGATGTATCTGTGAAAATTCTGCTGCTTGAGATGCCTGATATTTTGCTGCCTACTTTTTTTTTCTAGGATTTTTATGGTTTCATGACTTATTTTTAAGTCTTTAATCCCTTTTGAGTTGATTCTTGTGTATGGTGTAAGTTGGTTGTCTAGTTTCATTTTTTACATGTACCTGTCCAATTTTCCCAACATCTTTACTCCATTATATGCTCTTGCCTCCATTGTCACATATTTATTGAGAATAATGGCTTGGGTCGATTTCTGGGTTCTCTGTTCTGTTCCATTGATCTATATGCCTGTTCTTGTGCCAGTACCAAGCTGTTTTGTTTACAGTGGCTTTGTAATATAACTTGATATCCAGTAGTGCGATCACTCCAACTGTGTTCTTTCCTTACTGATGCTTATTTAAATTGTTTATTTCTAGGGTGTTTTGTTTTGTTTTTGCTATAACAATACTGCAATGAATAACCTTGTACTAAGTCATTTCACATTTGAGCAAGTATACCTATTGGACATACATATGCCTAGAATTTGCTGGGTCAAAGGGTATGTGCCTTTGCAACTTTCATAGATATTGTTGAGTTGTCCTTGATGGAGGTTGAACCAGTTTACACTTTCACCAATAACATATGAGTACCTGATTCCCCATACTCTGACCAACATAGTGTGTACTCAGCCGTTTTGATTTGTGCTATTCAAATAGGTAAAAATGCTAACAGTATAATTAAAATTTGCATTTTTATGAGTAAAGTCAAGCATCTTTAATGTGTTTGAGACATTTAAATTTCCTTTACTGTAAGCTGTCTTTTCATATCCTTTATCCTTTTTTCTGAGTTTTCATCTTTCATTTATAGGAACTCTCAGATATTAGGGAAATGAACTCTTTAGGAAAGGAGTTGCAGATATTTTTTTCTAATTTGTCATTTGCCTTTTGGCTCAGCTTGTGGTATTTTTTTTTTGCAATACATTTTAAAAAATAGAATGTATCAATCTTCTAGATTTCATATCATAGTAGAAAGGTCTTTTGTACTCAAACATTATAAACAAATTATTCTGTAGGTTTTTTTCATTGCAATCTTTGACACATCTGGAATTTATCCTAGTGTAGAGTGTGCGGGTATAGATTCAACATTGTTTTCTAGATGGCCCATTTGTCTGCTTGGGAAACTTTTTACTGCTGTCATTCTTGGATTATCCTCCACACACACGTGGATCACATTCTGTGTGCCTCGCCCAGAGATCGCAACTGAGATGCCTGTAGAGACTAGGCAGGTTACATAAAAGGGTGAAGAGTGCCAGGTGGGGAATATAGCCAACTGGAAGTAGGATGGCATACTTTTCTAAAGAGGGCAGCCACTACTCACTGCCTGCTGATTATTCCCTTGCAGGAATGCAGCAGGGCCCGGTGTTGCCAGATCTTTGTCAAGAGAAGCTGAAAATCCAGGTATACAAAATCTCCTGGTTTTTAAAACGTTAACAACAACTCTAAGAATTTAAATATAGCCTTGGCTGAACAAAATGTGTCTTCAAGCCAGATTTGGCCTTGAGAAGGCGTCCAATATTCTTAGCCAAGAGTGGAACTTCCAATAACAACTTTACTCTCCTAAAAGAAAATACAATCACAGTCTCCTAGTTTGCTTAGTAGTTATGGCTGGAGTTCAGGAAGAGGAGGGAAAAGCAATGACACTTTATGTAAGCCAAAGTCTTTGTCCTCACTGATAGAAAGATTACTTGGATAAATACACGCATTTCACTTTTATCCCCAGGACATGGGAATGTAGAGGTCACCATTTATTAGAAGACATTCGTGATTCGGTGGATACTTGGATTAGAAAAAAGATACTGTAAATTTTCCAACCCTGCCATTCTGATCTTGCCAGAATGAGAAAATGTTTGGTTTGTGTTTTGGGGGAGGTTAATCACTCAGCTACTGATCCTGGAACTAAAATGTGGCAGGCATTTTTTGCACTGTTCTCGCTTTCCTTTCCTTGCTGCTGGTAGCTGGGAACAATCTCTTACAATCCATATACTCAGCATCTGTAGTGGAATGAAACATATGCTAATGATAACATTTCCAGAGTCACGCCTCTTCAACTCAGGAAAGCTATGGTC